GGACTGAGGATATTTTCTTTGTAATAAAACCTTACAGTTTTATTAGGATATGTCGAGGTATTGTTACAGATCAATTTTCCCAGTACATCATGGACCCTTTTAATATGTGTATTTAATTATTTTATTTGTGAAGTGTTTTATTGGGTTATACTTATCAGTTCTGTTCTATTATTTATATTTTTTTCTTCATGGAATTGAATTATACATATGTTTAATATCCTTTCATTGTCTTTCATTTTAACCAATTTCCCTCCAATCCATTCTACTTCATCTTATTTTTAATCCCTTAGTTCTTTCATTACTTTTATTCCATGGCCTATATTAAATTTTCATTGGAATCTATTTTCTTTTGGGGAATTAATACTTAGTCTTTATTTCTGATATGATTTTTCTTTTGATTCTTTTTCTTTCTGGGATTAATCAACTCTTGTTTGTTTCACTTGTTCTTTTCTTTTTTTCAGTTCATTTCTGTTCATAGTTTTTAAATTTCTAAGTCAAAGTGTATGTCTGTAGTTTTTGTTGTTTGTATGTACATTTTTAAAATCTCTAAATGCTTGCTTGAGAAATGTTCTGATAAAGATTTCTTCTGCTTCATTGTTTTTTTTGGAGGAAATTTTTATCAGCTGAAATGTTTTCTCACTTTTTGCCTTAGTTTTATTGTACTCTTTATAGATGAAGACTTCTTGTATATTTTATTTTGTGAATAGAGTTGGCTATTGGAATGACTTATATTCAGGTGATATTTTCTATCAGTAAGGAGGTGTGGAGATTTTTTATTGGATGGCTGTTTGAGGAGGTACAGGGCAGAGATTGTGTGTCTTATAATTTTTTTGGTTTACTTTTATTTGGTAGGATCCTTCAATTCCCTCCACCTCTATTTCCCCTTCACTATGCAGTCCTCAAAGAGAGCCTCTTCTTCCAATTTCGTGCTGTATCTTTTCAACAGTACCTCCCTGGGTCTCACACATACTTTGATTCCTTTTCTTGTCATCAGTGCTCTTCCCTGCCAGGACTCCTTCTGATCCTTGTTTTCATTATTTTCTTACCTAGCCTGGACTTTTCCTTCTGCAGGTTGTTGTGCCTCAAACACCTCTTCTCTCTCTGGAATCTTTCTGGACCCTACCTTACCTTCAGTAAAGCATGTGGTGCAATCTCTAGAAATGATTCTTCTGGAAATTTGTGTTTGTCTGTTTATGGGTTATTTGAAGTTAATAACATTCTCCTTTTCTAATTGTGCTGAAGAAATGGGTCATAGGTGGTTGTATTTATGTTATAGATGTGCAATGATTGGTACATCTGCTCAATTCTGTTTATTGATCTGCTCAGTCTTTAAATGATGTTTTAAATAATGTCTGTTCTGGATTTTGTCAAGTCTAATAGATGTGTAGTGGTATCTGATTGTTTTAATTTGCATTTCCCTGATGACATATGATATGGAAGATCTTTGATGATGTGTCTGCCAAAGTCTTTGGCTCATTTTTATTTACATTGAATTATTTTATTCTGTTGGGTCTTAAGAGTTCTTGGTATATATTGGATAACAGTCCTTTATCAGGTTTTTCTTTCTTTGTAGAGCTAGGGTCTCATTATGTTGCTCAAGTTGGTATCAAACTCCTGGGTTGCTGAGTCTTGAACTCCTGGGTTCAAGTGATTCTTTTGCTTCAGCCTCCCAAAATGCTAGGATTGTAGGTACAAAAGATATTTCTTTTGTAGATATTTTTTCCCAGTTTGTCACTTGCCTTTTCATTCTCTAGACACTGTCTTTCATGGAGCAGAAGTTTTTAATATTAATGAAATCCAGCTTATCACTTTTTTTCATAGGTCATACCTTTGATGGTGTATATAAAGAGTCATTGCTAAACCCAATGTCATCTAGATTTTCTCCTGTGTTATCTTCTAGGAGTTGTATAGCTTGGGATTTTATATTTCTATCTATGACCCTTTTTGAGTAAATTTTTGTGAATGGTGTAAAGTCTATGTCTAGATTCATTTTGGTTTTTTTTGCATGTGGATGTCCATTATTCCAGCATCATTTATGGAAGAGGCTATTTTTCTCCATTGTAGTACTGCCAAAGATCAGTTGTAGTATTGCCAAAGATCAGATTATATTGTGGGCCTATTTATAGGCTCTCTATCCTACTACATTGATTGCCTATTCTTTCTCCAATAACATATTCTCATGATTACTATAGCTAAATTTATAGTATATCTTGAAGTTTGGTAGTGTCAGTTCTCTGCCTTTGGTTTTAACCTTCAACAGAGTGTTGGCTATTCAGGATCTTTTACCTTTCCTTAATTAACTTGTCAATATCCACAAAATAACTTGCTGGAATTTTGACTGAGATTGTGTTGAATTTATAGATCAATTTGAGAAGAACTGACACCTCAACAACATGGAATATCTCTCCATGTATTTAGTTCTTTGATTTTTCTCATCAAGAGTTTGGTATTTTTTCTCACATAGGTCCTGTGCATATTTTGTTAGACAGTAGTAACATAAATGATATTATGGTTTAATTTCAAATTCTACTTGTTCATTTCTGGTATATAGGAAAACGATTGACTTTTGTATATTAACCTTGTGTCCTGCCACCTTGTCATAATTGCTTACTAGTTCTAAGAGGTTTTTTTTAAATTAACTTTCTCAGATTTTCTATAAAGATGATCATGTCATCTATGAACAAAGACAGTTTTATTATTCTTTTCTTAACCCATTTAGATTACTATAACAAAATGCCATAAACTGGTTAGCTTATAAACAACCAAAAGTTTTTCTCACAGCTTTGGAGGCTTGGAAGTCCAGGATCAAGGCACAGGCACATTCCATGTCGGTGAGGGCTCACTGTGTCCCCATGTGGTGGAAGAGCAAGGCAGCTCTCTGGGGAGCACTAATCTTATTTATGAGGGCCCCACCCTCATGACCTAATTACATCCCAAAGGCCCCACTTTCTGCTACCATCACATTGGTGATCAGTTTTCAACATATGAATTTTAGGGGAACACAAACATTCAGACCATGGCACCTTCCAGTCTCTATGCCTTTTATTTCCTTATCTTATTGCATTAACTATGACTTCCAACACAAATGTTGAAAGGTAGTGGTGAAAGAGGGCATCCTTGTCTCATACTTGATCTTAGGAGAAAAATTTCTAGTTTCTCATCATTAAGTATGATGTTACCTCTAGGTTTTGTTGTACATATTCTTTCCTTTAAATCTTTTGGTCTGAAATTTTCTTATAATGTCTTTGCCTAGTTTTAGTATTAGTCTTTATGAATAAGTTAGGAATTAATTTTTCTGCTTCCAAAAAATATCCTAAAGGATATTTTTACCTTTTAGAAGTAAGTCATTTACATCAGAACTGGATGGAATTGCAAGTTTCTGTTTTCATAAAATGCTCTTTTATTGTATTTGACCAAGCAGAAAGTTAACTACAGGACTGATTTTTTCAGATATATCCTGATGTGAAAGTCATCAGAACTAAAATGGAGTCACTAGTGTTTAAAAGCAAAAACAAGAACCCTGGCAAATAGAGCTGGATAAGGCTATGAAAAGAGGGTTCTCATACATAATGCCTAATGACAAAATCTACTACAGAAGACTCTACAAAAAATGAAACCTTGAACAGAGGCCATTGCACCATACATAAAAAATGCTTCTGCAAGGACATCTGCCTAGCAACTGCCTGACCAACCTGGGACTGGCGTCACTCTTGTTATTGCTCTTTGTAGCTAAGGATAATTACAATTATGTAATCCTCATTTTTCCCTTAAAAACTTTTGTCTTCCTTTACCTCCCTGAATACTCACATACTTTACTATGGCACATGAATTTCCATTGCAATGCCCTATATCTGAATAAATATCATTTTCTTTTAGAGAGCCCCTCTCTGCTTATCATTTAACCTGACGCTGGCTACTATAGGTGGAGCCCTGATTTTTTCCCGCCACATTAACCATTATGCAAACAAGGAATGGAGCCAAGATTTGATCAATGGTCTTTACTCCAAAGTTTGTCCCCTGTTTCCCTAAACCACAGGTCTCTGTTACTATAATAACCTAAATAAGAATTAAAGAGTTCTACACTACTGGTATCTATCTGTTCCTAATGATTTTTTGGGAATGAGGTAAGAATTCAGTTACAGATAGAGAGAGGATAGAAAAGGAAAAAAAAAAGGAAAAAAAATAAACTTCTTACTATGACAGTATATTCTTTTTATTCAATACATACAGCCATTCACAGTTTTACACACTTCATGCATTCTCTCATAGTATATCAGTTTGATCAAATGATATAAGTGGATACGCTCAAGTAAATATCTCATTTAGAGAACTAATTTGAAACTTAAATTTTAGGTAAGCAAGTGCATGATAAGCTTATTCTGGGAAAGAAGCTATAGTATCTGTGACCTTATTTGGCTTTCTGAACCTTCCTACATAAAGTTTTCATTGTATTAATCAATTAAATGTACAAAATGTAAAACTACATTTTAATGCTAATTACTTACATAAACTAAAAAATTTATAAAATAAGAGAATTCAGTCTATTAAAAAGTTTTTGTTAAGCCTACTAAATTAAATATTAAAATTCAACATATTTTTACTTAAAGGTTATAAAATAATGAATATTTAATATTTTGAACTTTAGTTTATGTAAAGAGTATTAGCAAAAATTTAAAACTAGCAATGTTACAATGTTTTACATGAAATGTTTGTAACTTCAAGGCATGATAAATTAAAATCATTTTCTTAATTTAAACTATTTCACCATATTCTAGAATTAATTTTTTTTTGTAAATGGAAAGTTATTTCTACAAAGATTACAGGGCCAAATAATGGAAGAGGCTTAAAGCTTATTCTGTGAGTTTCTTCTAGTTAAGAATCCAATAGAAATGCCACCCAAAAGTGGTTCACACAGGAGGAGGTGATGTTAGCTGATGACAAAGAGGAAGTGATTGGTTCTGAGACACTGGAACATCACCAGGCCAGCGAGACAAAAGGCATCAGAGGCCTTGCTTATATTTATTGACCACATGTTTAACATCTCACAGAAATGCAAGAAATAAAACTTAACACTTGCACTGTCTATACTGCAATGTTGAATCTGTTGCAAGATAAATTATTCCATAAGAATATATATTAATAAAACATAACAGGAGCCTTACAAATATAGTTGTAACATAGTCGTATCATATTTATCCACTAAAAAGTTATCCTAAATACATATTGCATCAGGGTTTATTCGAGCTCTGCCGGCGTTGATGCGGATGGAGATGCTTCTGGGCCTGTAAATGCAAAGTAAATAAATGAGTGACAATGACAACATTTTCCCATAAATTCAAAAATTTAACATATTAATTTTAAATAAAACATATTTTTCTGCCTTTTCATAAAGATTACTCCTGAAGCCTACATGAAAATTGAGGTATGATCCTACCTTCTAGCACAAATCATACATTGGAAACACAAGACTCCAACTTCTGCACTGGTAGACAAGAAAAGAGTGCCCCATAACAGACTTTCAAATTCATGAGTCCTGCCTGTGCATGTTGAAAAAGTTCTGCTGACATAAATGCGCTGAACAGAACTAAACAGTGTGTGTATGGCCTCAGGGGGAAGTAGACGGGAGGGAAGAAACTCAGGTGAAGTCAGTCTGCCTCTGAGTGGCATCTGTCCCTGCACCTGTTTTACGCATTTCCTTAATGGTGGCCCCTTTCAAAGTACAACACTGTGCCAGTTACCTAAAGGCCGCTCTCTGGCATGCCAAAACATCTAGGATAGCTGCAAAAAATTGCAATAAAAAAAATAATAATCATGTGTCTTGTGGAGGGAAAGAAACAAGACTTGACTAGATTAGTTTTCAGAAAGTTATAGCACCAGGCTCTAAGTGGAAAGGATTCCAGCCAGAAGGAAAAAAGCACAATCTGAAAAAGTTAAAACCACAATGGATGGCAGCAGAAACAGGAAACAGAAGAGGTAAGGAAAGAACAGGGCGATCAGCTTGAGAGGGGAGAGAGCACGCTGTCACCAGCACCAGCCCCAGCCTCGGGGGATCAGAGACACTGAGGATGGGAGTGGGGATTTCGGCAGTGACACCCTCCTCAGCTATCCAGAAACACGCAGAGCAGATGCTTCGGTCCACATGGCTAGGCTTCCAGGTTACAGGAGCTTTGCTGCTTTTTATGATTTTCATTAATTTTGAATGGCTAAAATGTTTGTCTGAAACTAAGCAGGTCTTTCTGCTAATACAGAGGCATAGATTTCATAACATTTGCAATGACTTAGTTCCTGATGGAAAGTTCATAAACTTGTACTAATGCCAAATGATAGTTCCTTGATTACATAGATCATACATTTTGTCAGCGATGAGGTAAATTCTACTAAAGATCATGTAGAAAATAATACCAAAATCCCGAACATATCTTATGGAGGTGACCCTCTGTACCCACTGCATTTGTATTTTTAAACTGAGGTCCTAAAGAACAATCTAAGCCCAAAGTGAGCAGAAGGAAAGAAATAAATAAGATCAGACAGGAGTAAATGAAATAAAGAATAACAAAAACAGAAAAGATCAACAAATCTGCAAATTATTTTAAAAAAATAAAATTGACAAATCTTTAGTTTTTCTTTTTCTTTTTCATGTTCATCAGGTTCAAAAGGTTTTTTAAATATTTTTAAATTTTAAATTTTTATTTTTTTAATTTCAGCATATTACAGGGGTACAAATGTTTAGGTTACATACAGTCTTTGCCCTGCCCAAATCAGAGTTTCAAGCGTGTCCATCCCCCAGATGGTGCGCATGGCACCCATTAGGTGTGAATGAATATCCCATCCCCTCCTCCCCTCCCACCTGACCAACACCTGATGAACGTTACTACAAATCTTTAGTTAGACAAAGAAAAAAGAAGACTCAAATAAAATGAGAAATGAAAGAGGAGGCATTACAATTGATACTACAGAAATATAAAGAACAGTAAGAGACTACTATGAACAATTATACACCAACAAATTGGATAACCTAGAAGAAATGAATAAATTCCTAGAAAAATACAACTTACCAAGCCTGACTCATGAAAAACTAGAAAATGTGAACAGTCCAAAAATGAGTAAGGAGATTGAATCAGTATAAAAAACTCTCCCTTCACAGAAAAGCCCAGGAGATGATGGCTTCCCTGGTGAATTCTATCAAACATTTAAAAAAGAACTAATACCAATCCTTCTCAAACTGCTCTAAAAAAATGAAAAGTAGAGAACACTTCCAAACTCATTTCATGACGCCAGACATTTTATATTACCCCATACCAAGGCCAGACAAGGGTGCTACAAGAAAAGAAAAGTACAGGCCAATTTCCCTGGTAAGCATAATGCAAAATCTGCATTAAATTCTAGCAAACTGAATTCAGCAGCACACTAAAAGAATCAGAGACCATGATCATGTGGAATTTATCCCTAGGATGCAAGGATGGTTCAACATATGTAAATCAATAAATACGATACACCATATTAACACACAAAAGACAAAAACATGATCATCTCAGTAGATGTAGAGAATGCACTTGACAAAATTCAACATCCTTTTGTGATTAAAAAAAAACACTCAGCAAATTAGGTATAGAATGAATGTACCTCAACACAATAAAGGCCATATATGACAAGCTCACAGCTAACATCATAGTCAGTGAAAGGCAGAAAGCTTTTCTTCTAAGATCAGGAAAAAGACAAGGGTGCCCACTATCATCACTTCTATTTGATATAATACTGGAAGTCCTAGCCAGAGCAATTAGGCAAGAAAAAGAAATAAAAAAAATCATTCTAATTAAAAAGGCAGAAATTTTTGGGAAGCTGAGGCAGGAGGATCACTTGAGGCAGGAGTTTGAGACCAGCCTGAGCAAAAACGAGATCCTGTATCTACAAAAGATAGAAAAATTATCTGGGCATCATGGTGCATGCCTATAGTCCAATCTATTCAGGAGACTGAGGCAGGAGGATCGTTTGAGCCCAGAAGTTTGAGGTTACAGTGAGCTATGATGATGCCACTCTACTCTAGCCTGGCAACAGAGCAAGACCTGGTCTCAAAAAAAAAAAAAAAAAAAAGAAAGAAAAGAAACAAAAGGAAGAAGTGAAATCTCTGTTTGGTGATGACATGATCTTATATATAGAAAACCCTAAAGACTCCACCAAAAAACTGTTAGAACTGATAAGCAAATAAAGTAAAGTTGTAGGATATAAAATTGACATATAAAAATCATGTTATACACTAACATGTTATACACTAACAACAAATTATCCAAAATAAATTAAGAAAACAATCCATTCTAAATAGCATTTAAAAATAAGAGTAAATTTAGTCAATGAAGTGAAAGACCTGTACACTGAAAACTCTAAGACATTGATTAAAGAAATTGAAGAAGACACAAATGGGAGGATAACCCCCACACATGGATCAGAAGAATTAATATTGTTAAAATGTCCATGCTACCCAAAGAAATCTACAGATTTAATATAATCCCTATTAAAATTCCAATGAGGCCGGGCGCTGTGGCTCACGCCTGTAATCCTAGCTCTTGGGAGGCCGAGGCGGGCGGATTGCTCAAGGTCAGGAGTTCAAAACCAGCCTGAGCAAGAGTGAGACCCCGTCTCTACTATAAATACAAAGAAATTAATTGGCCAACTGATATATATATAAAAAATTAGCCGGGCATGGTGGCGCATGCCTGTAGTCCCAGCTACCCGGGAGGCTGAGGCAGAAGGATCACTCGAGCCCAGGAGTTTGAGGTTGCTGTGAGCTAGGCTGACGCCACGGCACTCACTCTAGCCTGGGCAACAAAGTGAGACTCTGTCTCAAAAAAAAAAAAAAAAAAAAATTCCAAAAATTTTTTAAAAAAAAAAAAAAAAAAAAATTCCAATGACATTTTCATAGAAATAGAAAAGAAATCCTAAAATTTGTATGGAACTACAAAAGATCCTGAATAGCCAAAGCAATTTTAAGCAAACAGGACAAAGCTGGAAGCATCACACTACCCAATTTGAAAATATATTACAAAGCTAAAGTAATCAAAACAGCAGGCTACTACCATAAAAACAAAAACAGATCAATACATATAGCTTAGAAATGCATTACTGATCAATTAATTTTCAACAAAGGTAGCAAGAACACACAATAGGGGAAAGGGCAGTCTTTTTAATAAATGGTGTTAGGAAAACTGGATATCCACATGCAGAGGAATGAAATCAGATCTTCATCTCATACCATATATAAAAATCAACTCAAAATGCATTAAAGACTTAAAATACCTGAAAATATAAAACTATCATGGGGTTGAGTATCTCTTATCTGAAATACTTGGGACCAAAATTATTTTGAATTTCATATTTTTTGTACATCAGAATATTTCCATACTTACCAGCTGAGCATCCCAATATGACAATCTGAAATCCAAAATGCTCCAGTGAGCATTTCTTTGGAGTGTAATGTTGGCATTCAGAAGATTCTGGAATTTTGAGCATTTGGGATTTCACATTTTTGGATTTGGGATGCTCAACCTGTAGAAAAATTATAGGGGAAAAGCTCTGCAACTTTGGTCTGGGCAATTGTGTTTTTCAGGATAGAACACCAAAAGTACAGGCAACAAAAGCAAAAATAAAGAAGTGGAACCACATCAAACTAAAAAGCTTCTCCATAGAAAAAGAAATAACCAATAAAATGAAAATACAATCCGCAGAATAGGAGAAAATATTTGGAAGCCATATATCTGATAGGGGTTAATATTCAAAATACGCGGAGAATTCAAACAACTCAGTATCAAGGAAACAAATAACTTAAAAAATGTGCAAAAGACTTGAATAGACATTTCTCAAAGAAGACATACAAGTGGCCAACAGGTATATGAAAACATGTTCCACATCACTAATCATCAGGGAAATGCAAATGAAAAACACAATGAGACATCACCTTACACCTGAGAGAATGGCTATTATCAAAAAGATAAATGATAAATGCTGCTGAGGATGTGGAGAAAAGGGGAACTTTGTACACCATAGGTAAAGTTTCTTTAAAAAACTAAAAAACAAAATTACCCTATGATCCAGCAATGCTACTACTTGGTATATAATCAAAGGAAATGAAATCAGTACATTGAAGAGATATCTGCACTTCCATGTTCACTGTAGCATTATTCACAACAGTCAAGATATGTAATCAACCTGTGTCCATCAACAGATGAATGAATACTTTACACACAATGGAATATTATTCAACCTTAACCACTTTGGTACGTTGCTCACTGGCGGCGAAACCTTGGCCACAGCCGGCACTCATAGTCTGCACAATAGTTTGTGCTGTGCATTGATGATGAATCTGTTTTGCTCGTGTGTGATGAGGAAAGCTTTAAAGCACTGAAAGCTTGTTTTACTTTACAGGCAGCTTTACTTATAATGTAAATCAAAATAGGTAACATATACATATATGTTTTTATTACATTATTTTTAAATGTTCACAATTTTATTTTGATAAATGAAAAATTAGAAAAGTCATATCACGGCTGTCGGCTAAAGTCGCTGTGCGAGTTCATCTGTGGCTGTCAACTATAGTCGACGCTTGTACCAAAGTGGTTAAAGAAGGATTATCTTTTTTTTTTTTTTTTTTTTTGAGACAGAGTCTCGCTTTGTTGCCTAGGTTAGAGTGAGTGCCATGGCGTTAGCCTAGCTCACAGCAACCTCAAACTCCTGGGCTCAAGCAATCCTTCTGCCTCAGCCTCCCAAGTGGCTGGGACTACAGGCATGTGCCACCATGCCCGGCTGTTTTTTCTATATATATTAGTTGGCCAATTAATTTCCTTCTATTTATAGTAGAGACGGGGTCTCGCTCTTGCTCAGGCTGGTTTTGAACTCCTGACCTTGAGCAATCCGCCCGCCTCGGCCTCCCAGAGAGCTAGGATTACAGGCGTGAGCCACCGTGCCCGGCCTAGAAGGATTATTTTTTATGACAACATAGATGAACCTGAAGAACATTGTTCTAAGTAAAATAAGCCAGGAACAGAAAGATAAATAACTGTCTTATCTCACTTATATGTGGAATCTAAAAAGTTGAACTCATAGAATGACAGTTACCAGGGGCTGGAGGTGGGGGAGTAGTGGTTGACATGGAAAGGGGAGATGGTGGTCAAGGGTACAAAGTTTCACTGAGATACAAGGAGTACGTTTTAAGGATCTATTGCACAGCAGGGTGACTACAGTTAATAATAATATATTATGTATTTCAAAATTGCTAAAAGAGTAGATTTCAAATGTTCTCACCACAAAAAAAGGATAAGTATATGAGCTGATGGATATTCTAATTAGCTTGAGTCAATCATTCTACAATGCACACATATATCACATTGTACCCCGTAATTTTATATAATTATTATTTGTCAATGAAAAATAAAAAGTAAACTGAGAGACTCAAGCATCCCCATGGCTTTTTTATAATACTTCTCTTTTCTGTTAGAACTCACATGGTAAGTAGTAAACTATATATCTATGAACTAAGCTATGTTTTTGTTGTATAATGAGCATAAAAGAATAAAACAATCTTGTTATAATGTAAGTCATTCCTTTTTTGCTGTCCCTAAATTATGTTTCTGGAACTCTGATTTTATAAAAGATTCCATGGAACAGGCTTTTGTAGTCAGAATACGTGCAGTTTGGAGAAGGACATTGCAGGCTGTGGAGAGGACACGGTCTCAGATCGCAGGACTACATCCATTTTTTTTTGTGTGTAAGACTCTTTTTGTATTTCAATGCAGGTCAGTTTCTCTATAAGTACTCACTTGGAGAAGGCTCTGTAATAAAGTACATTAATTACTAAATTAATGAAACAGACTGAGAATTAAAATAAGTCATAATCACTTATTTATTTAAAAAGTCTATATTACTTAAAACAACAAAAGTCATAAAACACTGCTGACACTGTAAAGTTCAAAGGGCACTTTTTAACAAAATTGGATGTGAACTTGTCCCCATCTCATCCACCAGGATAAAGGAGAGAGCTGGCCTGTAAGTGGCAGATCTCACTCAACAAATGCAGCCAGGAGCTGGGGTAGAAGTGCAAGCGGAGATCCCACTTACAAAAAGTCACAGCAAATACTTCAAATGCCTGAAGAGACATAACACGCCTTCTTTCCCCTTATCGAAGAAATGAAGCCCCAACAGTAAAAATAAGCTGCCCAGAGGCAAACGGTCAATAATTAGTAGCACTATGGAAACTACACATAATACTCAATAGGCTTTTTTTTTTGTGTCCACAAAATGAGACAAATTCTCTGTGTGACTGTTATAAAACTAATAAAGTATTTTGAACATCTAATTACAGAGAAAGTTCTAAATTATTCACAGCTTGAGAAATGCTGCTAATGGAGTAATTTCAAGTTTGAATTTTGACTTCCTTTTAAAGAATAGAAAGCTTTTTATGACGTGTTCTCAAGGAGGACCAGAGGCTTATGCAAAAGTCCAAGCATTGTAGGGTCAGAATCTTTTGAATCCAGGGAACTAAAACTGATATTATTTGGTGCATTATTTATTGGTATATCAAATTGACTATCAACATTTTTGACAAATAAAGGAATATGTAATGCCCCAGAAGCCATGATTTTTGCTATTCATCTGAATAAAGAGGAAAAAAGCAAAACATATATTATTACATGTTTATCTATAACCTTAATACTTCTGTGAGTTTTTTAACATGGTTCTTACAGTACTCATATCTCATTATGAGATACCTCATGAGATAAGAACGTGAGCTGTTGCCATCACTGTTACCCAAACCCTCAAGAAACACAGATGGCTGCGGGATCTCACCTTGAGTGCTCTCAGAGCCTTCGGGAGCTGCTGCCTCTTGGATTTTCTCTGCATCCTGGAGCCCTTCAGGGTCTTGTGTGGACTGAGATGACGTAGATGTCCTGGATGTCTTTGGGGTTCTCTTGTCTGAGTCAGCTCGCTGCTGCTGTAACCACTCATCCTTATAACCATTGCTAATCAGTTTGGAGAAGTTCGTTGGTGAATTGGTTTTCTGGCCAGGCCTCAAAAAGAGAAAAAGAAATGCTAAACTTAGGTACAAAGATTAATGGTAAATCAGAAACAGTATTCGGCAGACAGATTGGTAATTTAGGTTCTACCATTCCTTACAACATAACAAGGACTGAGCACTTGCTCTCTCTCTGTCTCTCTTTCTCCCTCTATCTGTTTCTCTTTCCATTTTTAAGCATAAAGAAGTGCATTTCAAAGCATCCCTTGTACATGAGTGGGAGCATGTTTAGTTCGGCTTCCAAAATCTTTCTCTGTGATAGCCAATTAAAAATTAGTCATAATTCTAGCATTTCACAGGGAAGCCTTCTTCAGAACTACCTTTTTATAAAATAAATGATTACTTTCTTAATTGGTTCCTCTTTGTCCTTATCAAAGTTTACCTGCTTCTATTTTGGTCCTATACACAGCTTTGTCATCTGTCTTTTGTTATTGTTAGCTTAGCCTTTCCCACCTGTGCACCTTCACAGATCTTATCACAATCACATTGAAGAGTGACAGGGTAGTTTGACACATGGAGGCAGCATGAGCTTTTCAGTCAAGCAAGTAACACATTACCTCTTCCTTCTTACTTGAAAATCACTTTTTGTCAATGCTATTTCCAATGGCATGCACTCACGTGCTATCTCACTTTCTCTCTCATATATATATATGGATTCCCCCCCCCCCCGTCTAAGTTTGGTGTTCTCGTGGCATTTATCACAATGCAATGTAACTAATTGTTCTTTCCCCATTGGATGAGCCGTTTGAAGCATCAGTCAGGTAATTAATGAATTAATGACATTTATCCTCATACTTAGGATTTCAGGAAAGTAATGAGACATCCAAGGCCTCAGGGATTTCACTTTCCAGCTGGAAGATCAACAAATGCCTAATGTATCTTCTGGCTGAATACAAAGCTGGAGTGCTTGCAAGGCATGGACATCTGGGTTCAGGCCTTGGTGACATAAAAAACATGAAGACTGAGCAGCATGTATGTGCAAGGACATCGGCCCCTGAGAATTGTGGCAAGAGGAGACATTGTGGAGGGGGTCCCAGGTAAGCACAGCCTGATGGAGAAGTAACCATCCATGCTAGCAACCTACAGCAAACATGACCGGGAAGGGGAGACGAGCTCAATGGGGGCAAAAATGGAGCAATAGGAAGGAACAAAAACCGCAGTGAGGAGGCGCATGGGTGAGGCTGGGCTTGCAGGTGCTGTCATTGGCACAGTCATCCCTCAGATGAAAGACAGAAGACCAAACCCAAACCTATTCCAGACAGAGCTCAAGTAGCTCAAGAACTTACATTGGAGGGAAGGAGAGCCTACTTCCCGTAGGGTCTTTAGGGGCAAGTGGGGTCCCCACTTTGCTCGGATACTTTGAGTTGATGGCTGGTAGCCTCACCTATGTGAGGAGACACAAAACCCTGAGTTAGTAAAAAGCAGTCAAAAGCTCAGACACTATAGGAGAAGAAAATTCACCAAGAGTAGCAAAGATACAAAACTTGTGGGACTGAACTTTTGGTGTGGTAATTATTTTACTGGTCAACAGTCACAATAAAATATAATTCAACAATAATCCCATTCAACAAAATGGTTATGTCAGTAAGTCAAAATCAGCTGCTACATTCAAGTAAAGATGTCACCCACCCAGGAGGAAAAATAATGGGCAATTAACAATGGGAAATATGAGAGGCCCTGGCCCTGGAGCTGAAGCCATGTACAGGGTGCTAAGAAACAGACCAGACCTTAAACCAGTCCATTTGCACTGACCATGCAAACCACCCAACGCCAGACACACAGCTGGGCACTGAGGATGTCTTGAAGAAGAAACAAGTGGCCTATTGCAGTCAACTGACGTTCCACTTGGTATGCAACTCAAGTCCCCCAAATAAACTGAGGGGTTTCTCTTCAGGACGCTGCAGCAAGGCCTGGGAGTCTGTCATAATGGTTCACGACACCAACTTCTGCCCACACTGAGACACAGCCAGTCTTATCACTAGTCAAAATGATCACCTGTGCTCACTCTTGGTTCTCAGCAACAAACACGACTGCTCTTTTTAACAAGAATGTCATCATTTCACTCACAAACCCCAATTCCCCAGGAGCTGAGACTAATTTTGGACCTAGCGCTGGTGCCCACTGGGCAAAGCCGAGTCCTCCGTGGTGCTGGTGGCCTCACTGCTGCTCCTCCCAGCACCAAGAAAGAGGATGGGCAGGGCTTCCAACCAAGACAGCACGACAGCATTTCTACCACTTAGATAGAGATAGCTTGGGAGTTTCTCAGTTGCTCTTTTAAAAAATAAATCCCCTAAGAAGGCTTCACTTTACAGGCCAGTCACGCCTTTGTGGTCAAATACATCACTGGGAGTTCGTACAGAAGAAGAGAATTCATCGCCTCTTCCTTTGTTATCAATAAAGAGGCTGGGAGTGGTGGTTCATGCCTATAAGGCTGAGGCAGGAGGATCGCTTGAACCCAAGAGTTCAAGACCACGTGGGGCAACATAGCAAGACTCCATGTCTACAAAAAATTTTTTAAAAAATTAGTTGGTAGTGGTGGTGCACGTCTGTCGTCCCACCTACTCGGGTGGATCCTACTCAAGAGGATCACTTGAGCCCAGCAGTTCAAGGCTGCAGTGAGCTATGTACTGCACTCCAGCCTGGGCAACAGAGTGAGACTCTGTCTCTTAAATAAATAAAGAGTATTCCAGTAAACTGTTAACTTAAATACTTAAATAAATGGAAATATTCAGAAACAAGATAATAAGATAAAATCTCCTTTGTACATGTGCCAGATAAGAAGTGCTATGCCAATTTTCCTCTAGATAACTATTAATCAGTTAAAAATCATTTAGTAAAATGTAATCTTATCTCTTTTTAAGCCAATATTCATAAAAAGAAAAAGAAAGATAATAGTATGGTGGCTGCTTGCCTTTTAGCAAATCCAAACCTAAAATACAGAACACATGGCCAATGTCATGGGCAACATAAGATACCCCAGCAGCTAACATCATGCCACTTAATTATCTGGGGGCCACAGAAGCACAGTAGATGCAAATGTCATCTATTTATGGGCTCCTGTCACCTTTTTTTTCTCCTTTTCAAGTTCATCAGCCTCTCTTTGCCAAACCGTTTTCACATCAAAGTCGAAGGGCCCTCTTCTGGATTCATAGCTACCATTGCCGTGATCAGGGTTAAATTCTTCATAGACCATGTAATCTGGCATGGAGATGGCAGGCACTCTGTAGGGACAGACAGACAGTTACACCCTGGAGCTTAGCACCCTTCCCTCTCCCTCCCTCCTGCCCTCTCTCCCTTGCTCTCTCTCCATCTCTTCTTTCCTCTCTCCTTCTCTCTCTCTCTTTCCCCTGTCTCTTTCTCTTTCTATCTCCCTCCATCTCTCTCTGTGTCTCTGTCTCTCTTTATATAATAAGCACCATTTCTCTTCCTTGTAACCACAGGTGGGCCCTTCCCTCCTGCCCCTGCTGAATAAATACACCAGCCCTTGTCCAGGGCGGGCCTGCTTCCCAGGATCATGAGGTCCACTCCAACATCCAACAGTAGCAAAATGAGATATACTAAAATATGGATTTATACATCAGATATATTATAAAATAATTATTTCCATTACTTTGAAATAGCTAAACACCCTTAAGCATTTACCATTTAATATGATCATTTAAAATAATAACCTCCTTCTGTTGGGTGGTCATTTTTACTTGGTTGGTATTTAAACTTCCAACCAGTCTTCCTTCCCAAGCAATGCATACAGGGGGGTCGCCCACAAGCGCTAGAATGACTTAGCCTTTAGATTCCTGAAGGTGCCATCTGTGTCACAACAAGGGTTTAACGGGGAAGCACATGCTGGACTCAAGCTGGAAACGGCAGCACACACCTACCACATGCAGTGTCTGAGGAGCTGCAGGGACAACCCCACATCCTGCCCCTATCTGCACTTGCTCATCAAGGAGTACTGGGGCATGGGGCACCAGACCAGGGCAGAGAAGAGGCACCAGACCAGGGCAGAGCAGGCACGTGGGGCAAGGGCCAAGGAACGGGATCCTGGGCACTGTGGCAGGAAAGCATCCAAAGGAGGCAGCTCTCAGGCCTTGGAGATAGCAAGTGGCCGGGGCCAGCAGCCGGAGGCTGGGAACACAGGCGTGGGAGGTGGCCACAGATACCCAGTAAGAGGAGAAGCCACAAGTGCACAAGTGCGGGGAGCACAGGTGTGAGAAGGGACTGGGAGGAGCAAGAGGCACCTCCTCCAGCCCTCCCATTTCTAAGATTGTCTGTGGGCAGGAAAAAGCCACAGAGGTAAGTGAGCATTGAACAAAGGGAGGGACAATTCTAGAAAATGTTAAGCAGTGCTATGCTGTAGCTCCCAGGTTCCCAGATTGTCAGTGAAGGAAACATCTCTCCTGTACTTCTCCCCCTCCACGTCCTCTGACTGTCCCAGGACCTGGAGCAGCTGGTCTGCAAGCCAGAGGAGGACTGGGTTCCAGGAGAAAGGAAGAAACTAAAGATATCCCAGAAACAGATCATCACTAGAGGGCTTGGAGGATTCGTAATGATATTAAGGGTGGGAGAAGACAGCAAAGGCACGGGAGCCCTGTCACACAGGCAGGGAAGGCAGAAAGGAGGGAGGGAAAAGTCCACATGGCAGGTGAGTACAGGAGGCAGGGCACGCCCAGGGCAGGGCTCAGCTATGGGAAGTCCATCCCCAACCCCAGAATTAACCATCAGCTCAGGGTGCACAGCTAGAGCAGCAGCCCCCCTCGCTGCAGAAAGGCACGGGGCCGCTCACAGTCTGGCAGCCGCAGGGCCACTGGGCACCCCTCGGTCGGCGGCGAGTTCAGGTAATGTGGGTGAGGCCACGGGGTCAAGAGGTGCTCCGGAAACCCAACCTGCGGCATCTGCCTGCATAACTGGAGTTCCACCCCCACCTCAGGCTGCCAGCCCTGGGCTCCTCCTGCAGCCACAGCCAGGCAGCACACGAGTGTCCCCAAGGCCCCTGCCTCTCTTCTAAGGCTCCCTCTTGCCCAGCTTGTCCCCTTTCTTTACCAGATGATGCTAACATCAGGGGTGAGCATGTCAGCACAGAGCACTCATTTTAAAGAGCAGGGAGAACCAGAATCCTGAAGACAAAAACTGCATTGTGACCACTGACAGCATGTTCAAATAACACTGGATAACAGCTTGAAAACACATCTATGGTGGGCCTGTTTTCCAAGTCAAAAAATGGGGAAGTGGTCCAAAATGACTTTTCAAATCCAAGAGAGGTGGTTTTGATGATAAATTTTGCATGCCCACAAACAGGAATTTCTTATACATTTCAAATATGATAGGGGATGGTGGCTCCCTAACTCTGTAATCATCATAGAAATTTAGGATTTCCTACATTTCTAGCTATATCAGTGCCTTTCATCTTTAAAGAGAACGCCTCAGGACAGGCTGTTGTTTTAGGGCAGGTGGACATGGTCAGGTCCTGCTGTACAGAGAACACAAACTGGAGGCAATTTACCAAGACAGAGCCCAAGGACACATGACTCTACGATGGCACAATGCTGTAGGTTTCCTGAACTCTGGGTTTTCTGACAACTTATGCTAGCTACATAACCCGAAGAGCTGGCTGTTGTAAAATAGTACCTGGAATTATAATATCACATGCTTAGTATCAGTATTAGATATCTATATTTTTAAAGTTCAAATTGAGCTATTTTGGGCTATAAAGATAAACAAAAATGTGGGTGCGTCAAGATACTCACTCCCGCTGGTCGGCCGTCGGTGGCTTGCTGTGGTGGATATACCAATCCGGCAGGGAGTAGGCAACCGGGGAGCCTTTCCTGGTCGCAGCACCAAAGTGCATCAACAAATCTCAAAGAGAAATGACACGCTGTGAGTGGTCCCACTGTCCCTATGCAGGCACACGGCATTACAAGGGGAGCCGCACTATCTCCCTGGGGTTGCCTCTGGGCTCTGGGTGCTAACAGAGCATCTCTGGTCCTCACCTGCCTAGGCTGACCGGGAAGAGTCGTGCTTGGTGCTCAGGCAGGGATATCCCTCATGCACCCCCACCCCCACCTTGCTCTTTCTCTGTGGATCTGGACAAGTCCCTGATGCTGAGCTGTGGCTATGCAGGCCAGCCTCCCCCAGCTCCTGGAGGGGCTTATCCCTCCATTCCTCACGTCTCCAAGGACTGTATTTACTGGGTCCCCCATCCTCAGCTACCACCCTCCAATGCCATTCTCATAGGCTAGGACGTGTGAATGTCCTTCTCTGCCACTATGGGGCTGCCCCTGACCCTCCTCCCCCTACCCAGCCATTTCTAAGAGAAGCTGCCCCCTCCAAGTTTCCAAGATGGGAAGGGGGACAGAGGCCCCTGCAAGTCTCCTTGTGGATTTATTAGTCACCTTGGAGCCAACCCTGAGAATCACTGAGCACAGGCCCCTTCTCAGAGACTCATGCCAGCTCCTGACTCTCCCACTGGTTTCTAGCTCATGTCCCTGCCCTCCCTGATGACCTGAAGGCAGGGAGTGGGAAGAACTGGTTTTCCTGCTAATAAGGACAGCAAAATCATGATAAGAATGCCTGTGACAATAGCAGACAACTTTTACTGATTTTTCACTATCAGTAAGAAATGTTTTATTATCTATTTTTTGACTTTTAAAAAACTTTTTATTGTTAAACATTTCAGACTTACAGAAAAGTTGCATGAATAGTATGAATTTCCCTATACCGTTCACCTCGACTACCCAAATGTAGCTGCACTTCATCACATTTGCTTTATCATTCTCCGTCCCTGTCTCTCTCTCATTATCATTATCATGTCATTTGTTTTCAGAATCATTAGGCATCATGAGGCAGTCACAACGCCCCTTTATCCCTCCATAACTCAAGATGTTTCCAAAAGATAGTCCTTACATAATCACAGCATGATGACCAAAACCAGGAAACTGGTACTGATGCAATACTTTCATCTAATTTATAGATCCTATTCAGATGTTGTCCCTAACCGTCCCACTAATATTCTTTTAACCAACGGCAGGGGGGAGGTGAATCTAAGAAAAAATGTCTAGGTCCTGTTCTCTGTGCTTCACACCTAGTCAATCAAATAGTCTGGCACAGGCTTTCTAATGTGAAAGGGAAGGTGTTGCCATTTCATTTCCCATTTTCCCTGTGACAATCCTCACAGGGGTAATGGTAGCCACTGGAGGAAAGTGAGTGTCCTCCATGTCAGCGACCCCAGGGGCTGGCTCTCAGACATTGTAGATGTCTTAACCCTCTGATTAGTGATTTCTATTGAAATCAAATGCCTTAGTTTTTAGCATAGTCAAGCAGTGCTTTCTCAATTAAATCACATATAAAAGTTTGATCTTCATCTACATCACCACCAAAACTTATCTGTGGTCTTCATTTTTTAAAACATTTTCAGCCGGGCACAGTGGCTCACGCCTGTAATCCTAGCACTCTGGAAGGCTGAGGCAGGAGGATCACTCAAGGTCAAGAGTTCCAAACCAGCCTGAGCGAGAGGGAGACCCCATCTCTACTAAAAAATAGAAAGAAATTAATTGGCCAACTAAAAATATATAGAAAAAATTAGCTGGGCATGGTGGCACATGCCTATAGTCCCAGCTATTCGGGAGGCTGAGGCAGAAGGATCGCTTGAGCCCAGGAGTTTGAGGTTGTTGTGAGCTAGGCTGATGCCACAGTACTCTAGACCGGGCAACAGAGTGAGACTCTGTCTCAAAAAAAAAAAAAAAAAAATTCATACAAAGGACAAAGGGTAATGAGAATTAACAACAGGAAACAAAAACTTTTCACGAATTAATCAGGTATTGGGTACAGCAAGCAAAGACATGAGAATGCAAGGCCAGTTCTTGCTGAGGCAAGCAACTTCCTGAGGTTCTCTTTGCAGTAAGAAAATAAAATGGGGGTAGGGGAAGAGGGTTGAATCGTTGCAAAGGTATCACTGGGAAAAATATCCTACACTGGGAAAAAATATCCAATTCTGTGAATTTAGCCTATTTAGTCTAACATCATAAAAAATGAGTTCATCCCTAAAGATGAAGTTAAGTTCTAAAGGACTTAAGCAAAACTTGTAGACTTTCTCGTACTATTTTTCTATGGAAGAAATTAGGCACAAACGCCCGCTCCCTGCTCCCGCAGCCGCGCGGGCTTACCGGGCCTGCCGCCTTGTTTCGCGAGCTTCACGTACTCGGAGTCTGTTTCTTTTATCCAGTATCTGCGAGTCCCAAGCGCGCTGCCCTCGTGCGATTCTCCCCAGTGGCTGAGCCCGGGGATCTGGGAGGCTGGCGGGGCATCCACGGCCTTCTCGGAGCGCTTCACCGGGTGGTGGTAGTACCAATCTAGAGGGCGGGCGGGCGCGGTCAGCGGGCTGGGGACGCCGCGGCCGGGGCTCCGTCCTCCGGAGTCTGGGGGACGCCTCGGTGCGCGCCACAGACACCTGGGGCCACGGGGCTCCGAGCGCGCCCGCCCGCAAGGAAGACGCTGGCCGCTTCCGAGCACCGCGATGGAGCCTGACATCTGTCGTGCCCGGTAAGCCACAACCGGCGACGCCCACAGACGGGAACGCACCTTCCACCCGCCCTGCGGGTCCTGCCCGCCAGCCTGACCCTCCTGCCAGAGCTGTGAGGGCTGAGCCTCCCTCACCGCTTTTCGGCTTCCCAGAGCGGTATCGGGGCTGTGTCTCTGTCTCTCTCCTAACCCTCCGTAAAGTTAAGACTTACCTGCATTTCTGGTTATGTTGGGGAACGTACATTCCTGAAAAATCCCAAGTCACTTAACACATTATGAGTGAGTCTGTGGAATATGTGGCCAAACGTTGACCAAGATTTGATAAACTCAATATGTTTTAAAAAAAAAACACAGCGGAAATATAAATCCTGTCACAGAAACAACAGCCTGTGTGAACACGTTTTGCACCTGTACAAGACCGGAACAAGCAGGGCGGGGCGCCGTCACAGGCGCCTGTCCGCGGGACTACTGGGTTAGCAGCCCACCCAGCGCTCCCTGCCCACCGCCCCGCCACTCTCCACACAGGCCCTCTAGTGGCTTCGCTGGGGCCTGAGGCCAAAGTGGGCAGTGAAAGTCAAAGTGGTCAAAGGTCTAGATGGTTACTGAAAACAGGGTGGGAGGAGGGAAGAGAAATCAGCTTTGCCAGAGTGACCATGAACCGTGGAAAACCTTCTCAGAGCAGAGATTCTCAAGGTGACTGGGTTCTGCTTCTGTGGGAAATATCAAATTGAGATATGGTGAATGCAGACTGTGTAACTTGGAGTTCCCGTGAAGGGGAAGCTGGAAGCAATAGCATGGAGGAAGGACGACAGAGGAGAATGAAGGAGAGCTTGCTCTCTGTCCTTCCTCCCCACCGTGATTTGAGGCCAAGGTAGAAAGGGGCCTGGCCAAGCAATGAGGCTCCCTGAGGCCTTGACCTGAGGACATCCAGTGCAGACCCTGGAGGCTCCCCGGAGACATCCAGTCACACCGAGGAGCTTCTGGCAAGAGTTAGAGGTGTTGGCAAAATCCCAGTGACCTGGCGCTATTAGTGTTTATTTATCACCCCACAGAGAGAAGAGATCTGGGGGCATTCAGACTATGAGTATTCTAGGTAACTCTCTGAATCAGAAATTGATTAATCGGGTGCCCAAATATAAGTAAAAATGTCACAGCTTATTGAAAAATTTATAAACAAAATCCAGGAAAAATTTAAAATACAAAAGATTCAATTAATGAAACATACAAGTAACTAGGTATACATAATAACACTTATCAGAATGTACTATCAAATATTCATGCTGTTCGGAGTCTAAGAATACCCTATTCTACGTAGTTATGATTGCTAATTTTATGTGTCAGCCTGGATAAGCCATGATATCCAGACGTCAGTCAAGCATCATTCTAGCTGTTTCTGTGAAGGTATTTTTTAGATGAGAATAACATTTAAATCAGTGGACTTTGAGTAAAGTAGATTGCCCTCCAAAATGTGAGTGGGCTTCATCCAATCAGTTGAAAGTCTTAAGAGAAAGACTGAGGTCCCTGCAAGAAGAGGGAATTCTGCTTCCAGACTGCCTTCAGACGTGAACTGCAACATCAACTCTTCCCTGGGTGTCTAGCCTGCTGGCCTTCCCTGAAAATTTGGAACTTGCCAGCCTTCGCAATCATGGGAGCCAATTCCTTATAATAAATCTACCTATATATAGGTAGATAGATATCCTGTTGGTTACAATTCTCTGGAGAATCCTGACTAATACAGTAATTGCACAGGAAAACAGTACCAAATAAATCAATTCACATAAACACACAGAAACAATAATAAACATCCCCTAAAGCTACAAACATAGATATTTAATTTTTAGTAAGAAAGCTGGGTTCGCCACATAAAAATGGATGGTATTTAATATAGAAAATCTTTTAAATATCTAAAGAATATTAAATAGCAGAATCAATACTATATAGTTTTGAAAAAGAAAGAAAAACATTGGGAAAGATTTAAAGAATTGCACAAATGATCACACAGAACCAATTTAAGAATTAAGAGTAAGAGTTTAGAAGCTTCATAATCTGATTATATTCAGCTAAAATATTTTCTATTTTAGAGGGAAGGCATTTAATTCTTGCTTTATTTTTCCTTTCGGTGTTTTGATTACTAATTAATCCACAGAGAACAGTGAGTCTTCAGCCTTCTCATTACTGGAAACTTTGGACAGGCACTGAACTCTAATCTGGCTGGCCATTTATAAATGTGTACAAAGGAGGAACTCAGACAGCAAGGGCTTGGATCAGTAAGAACCCTCTAACACACACACACACACACACACACACACAGAGGGCTGAAGGGACAAAGAGTTATGTTTTAGCTTTTATTACTGAAAAACTGTTAGTATTTGTATGACACCAAATCAGTTACTATCCTATAGATCAGGCATCCTCAAACTACAGCCCGTGGGCCACATGCCGGTGTTTTTGCCCATTTGTTTTTTTACTTCAAAATAAGATATGTGCAGTGTGCATAGGAATTTGTTCATAGTTTTTTATAAACTGTAGTCCAGCCCTCCAACGGTCTGAGGAACAGTGAACTGGCCCCCCGTTTAAAAAGTTTGAGGACCCCTGCTATAGATTTTCCTCATATAGCCTTCCCTGCCTTATCATATGAGGGATATTAGTACCCTTATTCTATCAGTGAGGAAACTGTGAGCTGAACCCAAGATCCCTCAGCTCTCCTGCTCTTTAAGCCACACGCAGTGTTTTATACACCCACACCACAGGGTGTAGGCTCTTGTCTTCTGCCCCAGCCTCAGAGAACAGGGATTAAAAGCATGGGCTATGGAGCCACTTGTTAGGTGTGCAACTTGGGCAACTTATTCCAAATTCTGTGTGCCTCGGTTTCCTCATCTATAAAATGGGATAATGATACCTCATAGGATTGTTATGAGGTCACATGAGTTAGTATATTTAAAACACTTAGAACAGTGCCTAGTACTTGTTAGTATTTACTAGTTTTCATACAGATGAGGCTACTATCCAAGGTACTAAGAAGTCACATAAAGACACCACAGATCATGGTGAGAGAAGGGGAACCTACCAGTCCCTCTGTTCTACCTCCCCCCAAGTCCCCACTGTGGCCACAGTGTCACCAGTAGTGGCCAGAGTCAGAGCTCTGGGCTAGAGACACATTTAGAGTATGTGGAAGGGCCACATTTTGTTTCACTTCTGAGCATACGTGAGCAGCTCATGCATGCCTCCCAGTCCCAGTTTAGCTCTCCCACCTGGGCCCTGGACTCCCTTCTATACCCTCTTTCTCCAGCTCTTCACACGTTGGAGAGGAGCAAAAACAATAGCAAAACCAGAAGACAGCAACTCAAGATTTCCTCCTTCCCTTCTCCTCCACTTCATACCTTGGTACATAAGAAGACATAAACCTCCACTGAATTCCCTTTCCTTTTTGCAGCCAATTAAAGCAGGAAATATATTTAACTGGCTTGGGGTCTAAATTAGGAGCAAAAGCCAGAGTGTCAGTGACATACCTGAGATGCAGCTGAAAAAGAAAGTTCCTAAGTCAACATTCAGGGCAACCGTGATGTAGAGGGTTAAACTATGACAAAGAAATTTCAAAGGGATCCTATTGCTTCAAACGACTGAAGCAACAGTAGGTAGCCTTGGTTCTCTTGTTAAAAATAAAGAAAAAAAGACTCCCTCCCCCGACCCCCCATCTATTTCCCTTTAAGCCTAGACTTGTCAGTTTTACCCATTTGCACCCCCATACCCCCATCCACACTATCCCCGACTCATACCGCTCCCCCCCCACACACACACACGGGATGGTGGGTGCACAGCCCACCGAGCAAGCTAAGTGAACGCGGAGCCCCTTTCAGGCCTTAACGCGCTGGGCGCACTCACCGCAGGGAGCGTAGCGGTGCAAGGCGGCGCCCTGCAGTTCCTTGCTCGTGTTCCTCATGGCCCGCGCTGGGAGCGCTGGGGAAGAGACCGACGCTGCCCGTCCTAGCGTTCCCAGGTGAGTTGGGCGCTGCAGGCCCGACCCGGGGCCGGGGCTGCAGCTGCAGAAGCAAAGTCCGCGACCCGGCTCTGTCTGTCCGCCTCCACCTGACACGTCTGCAGGCACCTCACGACTGCCAAGAGCTTGCACGTCCACGGAGGGTACACTGCAGGGACACGTCCACGCAACAGAAGGGAGCACATGACGCCGGTATACAGCAAGAACACATGGGCACCGGGTCCTCAGCAGAGGCGCGCACACACAGGGTACACGGCAGGGGCACATTCACGCGGGATGGATACACAGCACGGGCACGTCCACGCCAGGAACACAGCAGGTGTATACAGAGCATTCAGCAGGTAATCGAGGGGTCGCGGCGCTTGGCCCGGCTGGGAGGTCCCGCCCTGGGGTCCACCGGAGCTCGCCCCATGCCGGCGGCAACGCGGTGGGCCCCTCCCGCCAGCCTCGGCGCTCCTGCCCGCACGGTGAGTTCTGCACGGGTGGCCGCGGCCGGGGCCCAGGGGCGCCCCCACGCCCCCCTCGCCTGCCCCACTCACCAGCTCGCCGAGGGTGTCAGTGGGTGCAGCCTGCAGCGTCGGAGGTCGGAGTTTGTTCGCCGCAGGCGGCCTAGGGCCAACCCCAAACTCCCAGCGCGGAGCCGAACCACAACAACCGGCGTTGCCAGGGCAACGGCGGGGCGGCCAACCGGCGTGCGCGGCGGGAGCGCCAGCAGCCAGTAGAGGCCGCCAGGGGAACTGCAGTCGGCCAATCAGGCCGGAGCAGAGCGCGGGCGCTGCCGGTCAACCGCCCTGAGCCGGGCGGGCGGCCTCGCCGCGGCGGGGCGCGCGGGGCGGGCGGGGCCGGGCCTGGGCCTCCTCGTGCCGCCGCCACCGGGAACGCGGTTCCTGCAGAGCGGTCCGCAAAATCTAGGGACACGCTTCGCCACGTTTCCAAGCCGGTATAGTCCCACCTTAAACGAAAAAAGCACGAAATATCTGAAAATATGATTTTACTAAGCAGATGCAGGAGTGAAAGGATTCACTTAGTAAAGGAATGCTTAATTTTAGACAAATTTGCTCGTAAGTCTCTCATCTGTTTTACACATTCACTGCCATGTGAGTTGTATTTAACTCACGCTAGTTTTGAGCCCGGGGCCTCCTGAAGTATATGATGACTCAGTTCTCCCAAATTCAGTAAGTATGTCGTGAGTCACCTACAGCTCATTTGGCGTACAGTGTAAAAATGGATTTTTTTACACTAGCGCCATGTGAATTACATATAACTAACGCACAGAAAACAATGAAAAATAACACATTTTTCATTAAATTAGAAAGGATTGTTTTGTTTTTGAAGTTTTTATTCTATTTTCGTAATAAAACACTGGCCCTAGGGGAAAAATTTTTTTTCTACTGTGGCAATGTGTTAGTGCATTAATAAGAGACTAATAGGTACTTGGGGAAATTCATCAAATAGACATTTCTGCCAATTGTGTATCAATAGTGACATTATCATGTAAACATTCTTCCTCATATCTTATTTTTCAGGAATATTTCTGTCTTGCAAGTTCATAGATGTTTTCAAAAAGCTCTTAACCATATTTCTGTGGAATAGTGTTTAGATTTCCAAACACCTGGCTTAAATGCGGACTTTTGGCTTGCCTGGATTTAGAATCTATGGAAAAGACAATGATTATATTATTAATCGTGATTCACGAGAATAGAGATTATCCATCTGGCATATGCTTGGTGAAGCCAATAGGCAACAACAGGTATGGCACAGTTCAGTAGGAGACAGACACTCTTGTTATTCAGAAAGATCCATACCACCCTGGCCAAACAATGGAGATAATTAGCCAGTGTTAACCCCTTGTGAGAGTTAGAGCAGGGATAGACTATTACAGAGAACATTCAAAGAAATCCTATTATTCCAATCACTGAAACAACAGTAAGTAGCCTTGGTTTTCTGTTGCAGAAAAATGTTTAAAAAATAAAGACTTTTTGATAATGGTGGATATTTGACAACTTGAGCTAAACAAGAAGTTGTTTCTGTTACACAAGCATAGCCTTAGAAATCTAGCAGAAGATAGGTAATATAGGAATTGGGTAAAGAGAAAATAAGTTTCGTGAGAGGAATTAACCCTAACTCAGTGATCTATCCAGCTCTAATATGCTATTATGATGAATTCTAAGGATCTTTAGCTAGCCCAATCATATATCAAGACTTCAGGCTGCAACGCCAAATGTTTGTTGCACTGTATACAGAGGCACTTAGGTTATCACCAAACACAAGTGCTTCCATTTGTGTTAAGTCACAGCATCATCTAGCTCTGTGGTCCCCAACCCCCAGGCTGTGGACCAGTACCAGTTGGTGGCCTGTTAGGAACCAGGCTGCACAGCAGGAGGTGAGCAGCAGGTGAGCTGGTGAAGCTTCATCTGTAATTATAGCCGCTCCACCACTCCCATTGCTCACATCACTGCATAAGCTCCGCCTCCTGTCAGATTAGCAGCAGCGCTAGAAACTCATAGGAGCTCAAACAGTACTGTAAACTGCGCATGTGAGGGATCTAGGTTGCATGCTCCTTATGAGAATCTACTACCTTATGATCTAAGGTGGAGCTGAGGTGGTGATCCTAGCACTGGGAAGTGGCTGCAAATACAGATTATCATTAGCAGAGAGGTTTGACTGCACAGAGACCACAATAAACCAATTGATCGCACACTGATATCAAAACCCTGTCGGTGAGTGGCAAGTGATAACGTAATAATAGAAATAAAGTGCACAATAAATGTAATGTGCTTGAATCATCCCCTACCCTCAGTCCATGCAAAAATTGTCTTCCATGAAATCAGTCCCTGGTGCCAGAGAGGTGGGGATCACTGATGTAGCTAGGAGATTGTATAGTCAAGAGAAGGTTAATTTTTTTAATAGTTGAGCATAATAACTGGAACTGTCATGACTAAAGAGTATCTTTCTATTTCTCAGTTGGGTTAATAGAAGAGTACAGCATTCACCCAAGCTGACAACCTCCCTTACTAGCTGAAATCATAAGTTAAATGATAATGAAGAGTAATCACTCCTCAGAAGAAAGTTTTGACTTTTTAAGTATGATGGAAATTACAAGTATTTACAGATGTCAGATCAAATAAGCATCTAGGTAATGGTGCCATACAAATGAAAACATGACACAAGAGCATTCTATTTATAATGAGAATATCTCAATGTCTTTATTTCATATGGTTTATCACATAATGGTCTTTCTATCACATGATGGCCCTCAGTATTTAGAAGGATCTAACATTCTCTCATGTGTAGTCTCACTCCATGTCCAATTTTACTCAGCTTTACTTGTAGATATATATAGATAGATAACTTATGTTTATGAGCATTTGGAGAAGAGGAAAAACTGTGTTTGAGCACAAATTCCAATTTTGCAAAGCCCTCTTACCTTTTATTCCTGCCTGCTCTCTGTTGGTTTACCATTGTTGTTGACTGAAGCTGGTTTAAACTTCCAAGACACTTGTTCCTTTAATGCTTTTCCATGTCTCCACTTTTGTCTGTCCTGTTACCTGTTGCAAGTAATGAAGGCATTGGTCCAGTTCCCCTCCCTACCACTCCTCCCAGGGGACTCAGTCTTTGCCTCTAGATGATGCAGCATATGATTATACCAGGGTTTCACAAACCAGAGGAATTTTTAAATTTTGGGTTTTCTTTTTGATTACAATCTAAATAATTTAAAGATAAACTCTTCCTTTTTGACATATATTTATGTATTTCAATATTATGTAGCAATTTAGGATTTCAGCCTACTTGGAAAAACAAGGTCATCATCCCTATAGCCAGGAGAGAGATTAGATTTCTTTAAGTCTACAGTGCACTGTGTTAAAACAATAATGGCCTTTTTCTTTGGTCAAAATGTATCACAAAAAATGGCACATTTTAATTTTTTCCAACTTTATTGAGTTATAATTGACAAGTAAAAATTGTATATATTTAACTTTTACATGTTGATTTATGTATACATTGCAAAATGATTGCCACAATCAAGCTAATTAATGTTTGTCACCTCACAGTTATCCTTTGTGTGTGTGTGTGTGAGTGTGATGAGAACACCTGAGATCTCTCTCAGCAAATGTCAAGTATACAATACAGTATTGTTAACTATAGTCATGCTGTACATTAGATCCCCAGAATTTATTGCTTTTGTAACTGAAACTTTGCACCTTTAGACCAACATCTCACTCCCACCTCTACTCAACACTCAGTGACTGGCAACTACCATTCTACTCTCTGCTTCTATAAATTTGACTGTTTTAGATCCCACGTATAAGTGAAAGCATACAGTATTTGTCTGTGCCTGGCTTATTTCACTTAGCAAAATATCTCTGGTTTCATTCATGTTGTCACAAATGTTGCGATTTTCTACTTTTTATGACTGAATTATATTCCTCTGTGTGTGTATAAATCACATTTTCTTTATCCATTCATCCATCAATGAACATTTAGGTTGTTTTCATAGCTTGGCTATTGTGAATAATGCTGCAGTGAACATGGGAGTGCAGGTATCTCTTCAATATACTGATTTAATTTCCTCTGGATATATACCTGTTATAGTCCAAAGTGCGAGAAAAGACCACCTTAGAAACTGAATTGGGCCAAATTGTGAGTCTTTATTTACTGGCCAGGACTACTCCTGTCCTGCAGAGAGGCAGGCACAGAAAGTAGTGATGAGAATGGAAAAACAGCCCCCTTTTAAAGGCAAAAAAACACACTCTAAAAATCTAATTAGCAAGCACTCTTACAGAAGCGAGAGAAAGCATTAATCTTACATTTTTATCTTGTTTTAGCACAATGGAGGGGAGGTTGGAGCCTTGAAATGGGTTTTGTAGGAGTCACCGGCTGCAGCTAAGATTCAGCCGAGGGGAATCCTCTGAAGTGTCCTAATTACAGATAACAGCATTAATCTTAGTGGAAGTACATCCTGCATCCTGTGATCTAAGCCCGAGCGCATTTCACTAGGTACATAAAGCATGTCAGGAGCCTCAGGGGTCCAGGACATTTAGACCCTGGACTAGTGGTTATATCTTGTGGGCAGTTGTGCCATGCACCACCGCCCTTCTCCTTAGTTTCTAAACTTATTACCCTAGCAGAGGTGAGATGGGAGGTGCAGAGTCAGATAAGGGTCAACTGAAAATTTCCCACTCTACTAAGCAAGCAAGCAAGCATAATACAGAAGCTAACAGCTGGTTATTGGCTATCTATGGGCCCTGGGCCCTAACATACCCAGAAGTGGGATTGCTGAATCATATAGTAGTTCCATTTTTAGTGTTTTGAGAAATTTTTATACTGTTTTTCACAATGACTGTACCAATATACATCCCATCAACAAGAGTTACCTTTTCTCCACATCCTTACCAAGGTTTATGTCTTATCTTTTTGATAATAGCCAGCCTAACAGATAAGAGGTGATATCTCATTGTAGTTTTGATTTGCATTTCCCTGATAAGTAGTGATGTTGAGCATCTTTTTCATATACCTGTTGGCTATTTGTATGCCTTCTTTAGAAAAATGTCTATTTAGGACCTTTGCTTATGTTTTGATTGAGTTGTTTTTTTGCTGTTCGGTTCTGAGTTCCTTACATATTATGGATATTAACCCCTTATCAGATATATGGTTTGTAAATATTTTCTCCCATTTTGTGGGTTATATTTTCATTTTGTCGATTGTCTCCTTTGTGATGCAGAAGCCTTTTACTTTGATGTGGTTCTGCTGATTTATTTTTGCTTTTGTTGCCTGTGATTTTGATGTCATATCAAAAATATCATTGCAAAGACCAATGTCAAGGAGCTTTTTTTCCTGTTTTCTTCTAGAAATTTTATGGTTTTAGATCTTATGGTTAAGTCTTTTATCCATTTCAAATTAATTTTTGTGTATGGTGTAAGATGAATCAAATTTGCATGTGGATATCTAGTTTCCTCAGAACCATTTATTGAAGAGACTACAGTATCCTTTTCCCTTTCTGTATTCCTGGCAAACTTGTCAAAGATTAATTGACTGTGTATGAGTGGGTTTATTTCTAGGCAAATACATGTAGACTTTGAGCCAGTAGTTCCGTCTGTGAGTATATAGCCTTACAAACATACTCACACATATATAGAGCAACTTAAGTACAAGGTTATTTATTGTACATTGTTTTTAATATCAAAATGCCTCTCAATATGAGACAGGATAAACAGGTATGGCACATTCATCCAGTGAAACATTATTTAAGCATGGATGTATAAGAAAAATCACCTCTAACTAAATCAGAAAAACTTCCAAGATACATTTTTAGTGAAAAAAGCAAGATGCAGAAGTTACCATTTAAACAATGTGAAGAGATGAATATATATAATATTATATATAATACAATGTCATATATTACATATGCATATCAGATCTTTGAAAGGAAATATTAATAATAGAAAATGGTAGCATGGATGCTAGGAGAAAGGGGAACCAATAGCTAGAAGGCAGAAGTGGAGTAGAAAGGAAATATTTTCTCCAAACCATTTTGTCTCTATTGAATTTTGGATCACTAGGTTAAAAAGCAGAAATCTTGGGATTTCTTGGGATAGATCTAGACTTTTAGCAGCAAAGAGGAAGTTAGTAAACTGGAGAAAGCACTTACAAATAGACCCTAAAAGCAGCACAAGTAAAAGAGAAAAGAGCAAAAATAAATACAAATGAGCAGTTGAACCATATGGGGAATAAATTAACAGGAATAGACAACTATCAGTAAGTAGATCCTTATAAGAAAATAGAGGCAATGGCAGAGAAGCAATCTTTGAAGACCTGATGCCTGAAAATATAGCTCAGAATTGAAAAAACATGTCAGTACTCAAATAGAAAAGACCCTCTGAGTATAAATGAGGAAAAATAAAAACTAATACCAAAACTATGTATATCAAAATAAAACTGGAAAACATTGTGAATAAACAGACAATCTTAACAACTACTAGAGAAATTGCCAAAAAAAATTAGAATTATAGAATTTTCAACAACAATCAACTCCACAATATTGTAGAATTGTTATTTCCAAAGTGCCAAGATTAAAATAACCGTCACCCTAGACTTTTATAACCAAATAGACTAGCTCATCATTCCATCTAGCAATACCATTTCTCAGTATATGCTTAGAAAAACCTTGCAACATGTGTACAATAATATGCATTGATAATATTTGTTGCTGCAAAACTGAAAACAATCTAAGTATATATCTACAGAAGAAAGGACAAATGAATTGTGGTGTATATAACAAAATACCATAGAGCAGTTAAAATGAGTGAGCTAGAGTGAATCTTTCAAGGTAGATAATGTAAGAAAACTGAGAGTGGCATATCATTGATTTTATGTTTTAACCATGAAAACAATATATTATTTATGGATACCTATTTATATAGTAAAAACTCAAAACATACATAGGAATGGAGCCAAGAAGGGCTGCCAGGTTTTTAGAGGTCGCTCTGAAGAACTTTTAGGTTCTAGTTATCTGTGGAAAATAAAGGAGAAAAGTGGGACTGGGAAATATTTTGGGGTCTGCCATTGTATTTCTGATATATTTTAAAGTACTGAAGCAAACACAGCAAAACATCCAAATTTGCTATAGTAAAGAAGGAGGTACGTGGGGTTGTGTTATTGAGCTGGTTTGAAATATGGAACAATAGGGCATTTGAAGCAAAAGGCAGATGCGTGTCCACCACCCGGCTGGGGCATCGCTGCCGTCTGTATTGTGAGGTGTCACAGAGCGTGATGCAACAGAAGACTCAGAAGCCTTTCAAAATTTGCTCACTCCCAGTTTCCCCCTGGAAGGAGAAGCATCTGTGAAGTCAGAAGACATAAAAGGAAACCGATTTAAAAACCACGATGTGTATAGCTTCATGCTTTCCATAACATAGGAAGGAGAAAGCGAATGGTATTCTTCATTCTACCAGCGGTTTGTGACCTGGTGGGGGAACATGAGTGGAAGAACAAAGGCGAGAAGGGCTGACAGGTTTTTCAGAGGTCACTCTGAAGAAGCTAGCAGTAGCGCTATCGGTAATGTTTTGCTATCAGAGCACGAAAACCCTGATGCAAACAGGTAGGTAATCTTGCAGAATGAGGTGCCTAAGATCTTAGGTTATATGTGATGTATCCGTCACTCGTGCCTTGTTTGCCTGGGAAATAACCCAACAAATGCCAAATGCTTTCCTCCTTTTTAGAGAAAATCACTTCCAAATGGTTTCCTCAGAAGTTTTCTCTTGATCACAGCCACTGTCTCCCTTCCAGGCACGCTGTTTCCCTTCCATGTTAATGGTATTTAGATTAATGTCAGAGGACTAGGGACAAGGACTAAGAAATAGAAGCCATTTTTTTAAAAAAAGAATAAATCTCAGCATCAGAAACTTGAAACCTTATAGCTAATTCACTCTTTTGTCCATGGGCTGGCTTGTGCAGTCTTGGTGGTATGCAGAGGTTAGCTCTGGCTTAGGACTCTGGACGCAGAATGGCATTTATCACATCCTTGGGTGAGAATTAACTAGAGTCTGTTAGTAGATAAAAACTTTGAGCTAATAACCGTGTTTCCTCTAGTGAGAACAAATGTGGAAATGACCTATAAGGAGATGGCAGAGGGGAGCCCCTGCTCCTTGGGTTGGCCAAAGACCCAAGACCTAGTTACTTCTCCTATTTGCTGCCTGCTGGGAAAAGGAAAACTGAAAGTAATGAAATAACCAGCCTATCAGTATCAATGAAGCACTTGCACAGGAACAAAATTGTCAATAAAAATAAAAGAAATGCTACAAAGGTATTAGTACAAGAAGAGCAGAATTGGAAAATCACAATAGATAACAAATCGTACTCATGCCAAATGGCATAATCCCACCAGCTGGGTGAAGGCATAAAGGAGTTTTGCAAAGCAAAGCCTGGCAGCCAGGCTTTTTAGTAAAAGTGAATTAATCTTTGGTAAATATGTAATGTGGTGATTTTCATTTAATTCAGTCCACTAGGAGGGCTCTTCTGGGCCATAATTGACATTTGAATCACTGTCTTTCAAGAGTGGACCCCCTACCATAATATTTAAGGTGGGGGGAATACACTTCTGAGTACACTTCCCTGAAGGGAAGAGAGTTAAGAAGAGAGTTAAGCAACTTCTTAGTTGCATTTTGCGTGGTCTCATGACCCTGAATGGCCAATAAGCATGATTGCCTTATGCAGGGGAGATAAGCTACTCAAAGATTCTGTTTTGGGGAAATTGGGTGTTTGGGCTGCAGTTTTACAAGGCCCAACTGACATTGCAACTCAAGAGCATATTACTGAGAGAGTGAATTTGTACATCACATGGTCAACTAACTTGAAAAAATTAATACAAAAAATCTATTTATTGACAGTTGAACATAATTTTAAAGAAGGAGCAAAATTTAAATAAATACACATGTCTAAATATAAAGTAAATTACTTTCAGGCTTAAGGTTACCTTCTTAGCAATTCTTTATAGACCCAGGACAGGAAATTGTGCCTTTCAGTTGATGGAAGCTAGGTCAGAAACAACAGGTGGAAAATCAAAGGCCAAATTGCTAAAGTGACTTGAAATTCTGAGGCCAGCTCTGCTCCCCTTTCCTAAACTATAAACCCAGGGCTGCAGCAAGTTGCTATCTGCAACTAATGAGTGATCCATCTTCATGCAGTTTCTCTTACCAAGTAGAAACTTTCAGTTTTTCAACTTGTAATACTTTGTCGAGAAGTCCAGAGGCTTACAGCCTTCTGCCTTAGCTCGATTAACCTATTTTAGCCTTTTTTTCCTTTTAAAGCTTTCTAAAATGTTGGGAGTGAAAAGGTTATACATACAACCACTTTGTATTATAAAATGGTTTAACAGAAGGTACTGAAAAATGAATATGCACATACCCTATGACCCAGCACTTCTCTTGGCACTATAGCTAAATAAAATACATATATTTGTTCATCAAAAACCATGTACAAGAATGTTCCTAGTGGCATTGCTTAAAAGAATATTTCTTTCTCACAGCATTGTTTAGCATGGCCCCAAAGTCCCACCAATTAGTTAGGATAGATACCCATGTGGTATATTCACACAATGGAATACTGTACAGTCATGAGAATAAATGAACCTCAACCACACGCAGTAGCACAGATAACTTTCACGAATGCAATGCCGAGAACAGAAGGCAGACAGATGGAGCACGTATACACATCGTTCCATTTACACAAAACCAGGCAAGCCAAGTTGATGGGAATAGAACTCAGGAGAGCAGTTACCTTTAGTGGTGGATATAAGATCAAATGGGGGCAAAAGAGGTGCTTCTGATGGACTGAGTATATTCATTTGCTAGGACTGCAGTAAAAAAATACCACAGGCTTCAGTAATAGAAACTCGTTCTCACAGGTTTGGAGGGTGGGAAGTCCAAGATCAAGGTTCCTGCTGATTCAAACAGGCGAGGGCTCTCTTCCTGGCTTGCAGACAGACACCTTCTCGCTGTGTCCTCATGTGACCTTTCTTCTGAGTGCAAACACAGACAGAGAAAAGAACTCTGTGCTCTCTTCCTGTTTTTATAAGGACACAAATCCTATTAGTTTAGGGCCCCACTTTTATGACCTCATTTAACCTTACTAGCTCCTAAAGACCCCATGCCCAAATACAATCACATTGAGGGCAGGGCTTTAGCATATGAAATTGAGGGAATAACAATTTTTTTCCACAGCAATGAGGATAGTCTGTTTCTAGTCTGGGTGTGGCTGCATGGATATGCTCATTCTGTGAAGGGTCCTTGGGCTGTACAGTAATGATTTGTGCCCTTTCTGCGTGCATGCTATACTTCAACACGAAGTGAGAAAAGGGTTATGATGACTTTAAATAATTTAATCAGATAATTGTTAATTATTTTTAGCTTAATATCTAATTTCTATAAAATCAGAGCCTGACCCACCCTTCCTTCCTTCCTTCCTTCCTTCCTTCCTTCCTTCCTTCCTTCCTTCCTTCCTTCCTCTTCTTCTTCTTCTGTTTCCCTTCCCTTCCTTCCTTCCTTCTCCTCCTCTTCCCTCCTTCCCTTCTCGCTCTCCCTCCTTCCTCCTTCCTTCTCCCTTTCCTCTTCCTTCCCTTCCTTCCTTTCTTCCTCCTCCCCTTCCCTTCCCTTTCTTTTCTTTCTTTCCTTCTTTCTTTCTTTTTAGCTCATTTTACATTTGAGACCTCTAGGAAATTGCCTTTGTTTTCTTCTTGTAAGCATTTAAAGAATATAAGTGGATATATAGTAGCATACAGTTATGTGTATGTGAGTGAGGGATATGAATGTATGTATGTACACACCATGGTGAAAACTATCTTCTCTCAATTTCAAAAACAATGGATTAGGAATTAAATTACTTCACAGATTCAACCTAGAATATGCAAGAATGAACACAAGCAAGTTTGTTGACTTGAATGTAGGGGGCCAGTATAAAGCCCAAATTGAAGGGTAATAGTTATGTATGACATTATTAAATTCTTTTTTTTCTTTTTGTTTTTTTATTTTGGCATATTATGGGGGTACAGATTTTAAGGTTTCGATAAATGCCCTTTCCCCCCTCCCCCCACAAGTCTGAGTTTCCAGCATGACCATCCCCCAGATGGTGCACATCTCACTCATTATGTATGTATATACCCGCCCCCTCCCCCCTCCCCCCTGCCCAATACCCTATTACTGTAGCACCTATGTGTCCACTTAGGTGCTACTCAGTTAATACCAGTTTGCTGGTGAATATATGTGGTGCTTGTTTTTCCATTCTTGGGATACTTCACTTAGTAGTATGGGTTCCAGCTCTAACCAGGAAAATATAAGATGTGCTATATCACCATTGTTTCTTAGAGCTGAATAGTACTCCATGGTATACATATACCACATTTTATTAATCCATTCTTTTTTTATTCTTTTTAGGGGAATTCAATCACGGAAGATTGTCCTAAGTATAATACTTTCATTGACTTTTCTTGTCGTAGGTAAGTCTTTCTTACTAAATAATGATCCTGAAAGGCATTCCACAAGATATGTTTGCCTGGTGAGAGAGATCTCAGTGGAATGACTCATATTTATAAATAAATGCCACAGAAAGTGTTAGAGGTAACCTGCACATTCCCAAAGCATCTTTTACTTCTGATTATAAAAATAATATAAGCTGTTTTATGGAAAATTTAGAAAGTGCTTTTCTCTCTTAGAATTTTGGTTTAAAACAGAAGTTGCTTAAAAGTTAAGAACCCTTAATATATTTATTGCAAACACATTATACACTTCACCTTTTCTAAATTTGAGTGACTCAGCTTGGGAAATTTTGACAACCAAAGACTCTTGCTCATCACACTGTTCTCAAGTAAATTATTGCTAAACGTGCAGGAGAAATTTCTGACTAAGCAGTGTCATACTGTCTGACTAAGCAGTGCCACAACCCTGTCACACTGAAAAATTGCTCTTTAATATATTGACAACTTGAGGCATGGAGTTCCCATTGAAATCAGGGAAATCACCCAGTTATTGGCATGAAATCATATTCTATAACATGGCAGTATTCTAAGCACTACTTCTTTATGACTGCACAAGTCTTCCTGAACTGCTGATTTACCCTGACCCTGCACCAGCCCAAGCTCAGGCCTGCTCCATCCGTTAGCTGCAGCTGGTGGGCAGGGAGTGCCCATTCCAGCTCAGTGAACCTCCAGACTAGACTCTGAATACTCCGGTTTCTAATGAGAACTACACATTATTTGGCTTGCTCTGTTTCCCAGCTGTCTTCATCTTCTGTTGACCTTGGAATTACCCTCTGCTGGCCTTGCCCACCTCGCTGCTGCTGGCCCCTCTTGCTGCCCCCTGTGGATGAAATTTCCTCCTGGCACCTACCCCAGGCCTGTGTGCAATGACTCATACCTGTTCTTCTTAGTCTCCACTCCAGTGCTTTCGTCAGGAGTGCACAGCGTGGGCAGTGGAACTGTTAATATTTGTGTTCAGGATCTGTCTCATTCCATAAATTATACCCCATATTCCCTTGAAATCTTTTAAGACACACACACACACACACACACACACACACACACACACACACACACACACACATCTTTACAGTGGATGCAACTGCTTCTTTGTATTTCCCAAGTTTAAGCTTACAACAAATGTGCCAGATCCATTTTAGACACCACTGATATGTGAATTATTTCAGTGGTATTAAATGATTCTGATTTTTTTTCTCTATTGAAGTGAAATTCACATAATGTAAAACTAACCATTTCAAGTGGACCTTTCAGTGGCATTTAGTGCATTCACAATGTTGTGCAATCACTGCCTTTGTATAGTTCCTAAATATTTTTATCACCTCCAAAGGAAACCTCATACCCATCAAGCGGTTGCTCTCCATTTGTCTCCTCCCAAGACCATGGCAACAAATAATCTGCATTCTATCTCTGTGGGTTTACTTATACTGAATATGTCATATAAATGGAATCATGCAATGTGTGACTTTTCTCTTCTGGCTTCTTTTACTTAGCATGTTTTCAAAGTTCATTCATGTTGTAGCATTTGTCAGTCCTTTATTCCTTTTTGAAGCTAGATAATATTGCATTGTATGTATATACCACATTTTGTTTATCTCTTTATCCACTGATGGACATTTGAAGTGTTTCCACCTTTTGGCTATTGTGAATAGTGATACTATGAACATGTGTACATATGTTTGTTTGAACATCTGTTTTCAATTCTTTTGAGTATATACCTAGTAGTCAAATCTCTGAAGAGAAGCCACGAAACTGTTTTCCACAGTGGCTGCACCATTTTACATTCCCATGAGCAGCATATGAGGAGTCCAATTTCTCACACCCCTGCCAACATTTGTTGTTTTTTCTTTTCTTTTCCTCCATTACAGCCATCCTGGTGAATTTAACGTTGTACTTCATTGTAGTTTTTCTTTCTCTAATGACTAATTATATCAAGCATTTTTTATGTGTTTATTGACCACTTGTATATGTTCCTTAGAGAAATATCTATTCAAGTCTTTTGCTCATTTCTTCACTAGGCTATTTGTCTTTTTGTTGTTGAGTTGTAAGAGTTCCTTATAAACTCTAGATACTAGACCCTTCTCATATATAAGACTTGAAAATATTTTCTTTTAATCTGTAGATTGTCTTTGTACCTTCTTTATAATGTCCTTTAATATATAAAAGTATAATTTAATTTTGATGGTGCCATATCAAAGAATCCATGGCCAAATCCTAAGTCATGAAAATGTATACTGTTTTATTCTAAGAGTTTTGTGCTTTTAGCTCTTATATTTAGGTCATTGAACAATTTTGAGTTCATTTTTGGGTATGATGAAAGGTAAGCATTCAATTTCTTCCTTCCTTCCTTCCTTCCTTCCTTCCTTCCTTCCTTCCTTCCTTCCTTCCTTCCCTTCCCTTCCCTTCCCTTCCCTTCCCTTCCCTTCCCTTTCTTTCCTTTCTTTCTTTCTTCTTTTTTTTTTCTGTATGTGGATATCTAGTTGTCCCATTTGTTGAAAAGATTATTCTTTCCCCCATAGGAATCTTGCCAAAACTTAAGTGAGCATAGGTGTATGAATTTATTTCTGAATCTTCTATCCCATTGGTCTATATGTCTGTCATTATGCCAGTATCACACTATTGAGATAGGGATTTTTAAAATAGGTATTTCTTTGAATCTATAGATTGCTTTGGGTAGTATTGCCATCTTGACAATAGTAACTCTTCCAATCCATGAGAATGGGTTCTCTTTCCATTTAATTAGGTCTTCTTAATTCCTTTCAGCAACATTTGCACTTTTGGCTCTAAAGTGAATCTGTAAGTAGCATATAGTTGGATCATGTTTTTAAATCATTATCCTAGTATCTGCCTTTTGATTGGAGAGTTTAATCCATTCACATTTAAATAAATTACTGTTAGGAAGGGTTTACTCCTGCTATTTTTCTATTTTTTTTAATCTGTCTTATACATTTTTTTGTTCCTCATTTCTTCCATTACTGCTTTCTTTTATGTTTAGTTAATTTGTTGTGGTGTACTGTTTTTAATTCTCCTTTATTTCATTTTGTGTATTTTTAAGGTATTTTCCTAGCAGATAGCATAGGGATTACAACTAACACCCTAAATTTATATAGTTTGAATTGATACCAAATTAGCTTCAATAGCATACAAATACTCTGCTCCTATACAGCTCTGTCCCTCATTATGTTGTCAAAAATGACATCTTTACACATTGTGTACTCATTAACATAGATCTATAATTATAATTTATACGTTTGTCTTTTAAATTATATAGGAAATAAAAAAAGCATTACACATCAAAACCACAATACTACTGGCTTTTGTTATATAGATATAGATACTTTTTGGGGGATCATGATTCTTCATATGGCATTGAGTTACGTTCTAATATCCTTTCACTTCAGCCTGAAGAACTCTCTTTAGCGTTTCCTGTAGGGCTGGTCTACAGAATCCCTCAGCTTTTGTTTATCTTGGCTTGTCTTAATTTTTCCTTTATTTGGAAGAATAGTTTTGTTGGATATAGAATTTTTCCCCCAGCACTTTAAATATGTCATCCCACTGTCTTCTGGCTTCCGTCTTTTCTGATGAGAAATCAAGTGATAATCGTATGGAGGATTCCTTGTACATGACAAGGCATTTCTCTCTTGATGCTTTCAAGATTCTTTCTGTGTCTTTGTCTTTTGACAGTTTGATTATAATGGATTTCAGTGTGGATCATTTTAAGTTTGTCCTACTTGAAGTTTGTTGAGCTTCTTGGATATGTATATTCATGCTTTTTATCAAATTTGGGGAATTTTCAGACATTATTTCTTCAAATATTCTCTCTGCCCTTTTCTCTCTATCTCTTCTTTCTGGGACTGCCACATGCATATGTAGATCCACTTGGTGGTGTCCCACAGGTCTCTTAGGCTATGTTCACTTTTCTTTCTTTCTTGTTTTCTGTTCCTCAGTCTCTATTGCTGCAGTCCTGTGCAAGTTCACTGATTTTTTTCTTCTGCCTGCTCAAACCTACTTTTGAGCCCCTCTAGTGAATTTTTTATTTTAGTTATTTCTTTTTCAACTTCAGAATTTACATTTAGTTTCTTTCATAATTTATCTTAATTAATATTCTCATTTTATTCATACATCATTTTCCTGGGTTCCTTTAGCTCTTTGTCCATGGTTTCCTTTTGTTTTTGATCATATGTTAATTTAAATATTTTGTTTAGTAAGTCCAATGTCTGAACTTCCTCAAGGCTGTTTTCTTTTCTTTTTTCCTTTTGAATGGGCCATACTTTGCTATTTCATTGTGTGTCTTGTAATTTGTGTTGTAAATTGGGCATTTACATATTATAATGTGGTAAACCTGGAAATCAGATTTCCCCTTCCCTAGGACTTACTGCTTTGTTATTTGTTTCGTAACTTTTTCAAACTATTTTTGCAAACTGAATTTTTTTTATATGTCCTGGACATGCACATTGCAGTCTCTCTTCTCTGGTATATGCAGCAGTCTTTCTGAACTCTTTTTCCTATAAGAAAGTGCCTCCTTCCTGGGCTTTTGCATTTGTCTGCTGCTTCCCTAATCCACTGTTCCTTGTCCCAGGTGGGCATGGGCAATCTATATTATTTTTAACTCTTTCAACAATTATTGCCAGAAAGCCATGCCAGTCCAAAGGGTGAAATAAAACAAAAGTCAGCTTCTGTGCCAGCCACTCAGGGAACCATGGGTTGGGTCAAAACTCATGACCACAGTATTTTAAGAACAAGGTTTGTATTAGCTGACAGGAATGTGAACTGCTGCCCCTAAAGTTGTCCCCACTGTGTTGGGAAAGGGAAGACAGTAGGAAGGTAAATAAAAATGCCACAGTGCTCTCTTACCAAAAACTAGCAACCCTTCAGTTCTCTGCTGTAGGTTTTGCATTAGATTCTAGAGTTCCAAATAAGTTGATTCTGTCAGTCTTTGCCAGCTTAGGTGATTTCTCTGTAGGACTGATTCTTTGAGTGCCCTATTCCACCATTTTCTATGATGTCAGCCAAGGATCTGATATTCTTTTTAAGAGCTCATATATTCTTTATGCTTAGAAAAATTCCTATTAATACATGTATTTTATAAATGTTTCCAGATAAACTTTTTAATCAGAGTTGGTCTTATCTTTAACAGGACTTCGAAGTCATCAGTGGCTTAAAGAAATAGAGTTTCCTCAAAAATCCAGACAAGTATATGCTATACTTGCAGAATATGGTTCAAGGATTTATAATTATCAGGTGATGTTTGTTAAGTCATTTTGTGTGTCACTCATTTAAAATTTAACAGGCTAGTTCAACTTACAATATGTTATCTTTGTTTTGTAGGAGAATATCTAATGAAAATATTATAGGAAATGAAATTCTATTAAGTGGTTGATATGGTTTGAATGTCCCTACCAAAACTCATGTTGAAATTTAATTGCCATTGTAACAATGTTGAGAGGTGGAACCTTTAAGAAGTGGGACATTTAAGGGAGAATGGATTAATGCAGTTAACATGGTGGTGGGTTAGTTATCTGAAGAGTGGGCTCCTGATAAAAGGGCAAGTTAGGCCCCGTTTCTTTCTCTGTCTCTCATGCTTGTTTGCCCTGCCACCATGGTATGACCCTCGCCATATGCTGGCACCATGCTCATAGACTTCCCAGCCTTCAGAACTGTGAGCCAAATAAACTCCTGCTCTTTATAAGTTGCTCAGTCTGTGTATTCTGTTATAGCAGCAGAGAATGGACTAAGACAGTGGTTTATGGCTAAGAAGCCCTAAAAATTCTCCACAGCCTCTGATCCCTGCAGGCTCCCCAGGAGAAACTCTGGTCCACCACCGTGTCTGCCTCTCTAGCATTCCAGACTGACCCTTGTCAATTCTATGTTTGGACCTCAGAAGACAGAGGGAGGAAGATGGCTGTAGCCATGGCCAGGTCACCACTGCTCTGTGGGAATATGGACAGACCTGTCTCCACCTATGTGTTGACCTTCTTAACCCATAGTGACTCTAGTGACCCCAGCCAGTGGCCTTGGATCTTTCTGATCTGATTCATACTTCATGGTCTGCTCCCTCAGTGGCTCTGAAATCCTCTGCTCACTTCCTGCAGAAACTGCCTCATTCCAATGTGTCTTGCCACATGGAGTCCCTAACAGGGAGGAGATTGTACTTGTATTGCCCTTGCAGTAGTCCACAAGGAAACTTCCCCTTGAGGTTCATAGATTGACACCTGGAATTGCTGTCAAGCTCAAAGATGCTGCTCACGATGCATATATTGAAAGCCTGTGAGCCCTCAGACCTGAGAGTCCTATAGAAACCCCACCTGGGATAGCTCCTCAGCCTGAGATAGCTCCTACACTACGGGGTCCTCACATCAAAGACTAGGACCAGGTCTATGGGAGCTGGGCCTGGATAGTTAGCTCATCACCAGAAAAACATAGATGAGCATGGAGGATGGACAGTGTTGCTCTAACACTGCCATGGTGCCCAGATGTTTGGCCAAACACCAGGCTAGATGTTGCTGTGAAGATATATAGTAGGAATGATTAATGTGTAAATCATTGGCCTTTTTTATACCTTGTCCTAGAGTCCAAAGGCATAAATCCATACACTTTAAGGAAAGGCAATTACCCTCCACAGTATAGTATGGGTAGGCTTCATTCAATCAGATAAAGTCTTAAGAGTAAAGACTGAGATCCCCCAAGGAAGAAGAAATTCTGCCTCCAGATGGCCTTCAGACTCGAGCTGCAACATCAATTCTTCCCTTTCTGGCCAGCCTTCCAGCCTTCCGTGCAGATTTCAGACTTGCCAGCCCCTACAATCATATAAACCAATTCCTTAAAATAAATCTCTCTATATATGTATTATACATCAGCTTGGTTTTGTCTATCTGGAGAATGCTGGCTAATAAGTTCATAGGTTTCTCTGGCAGGTTCTGTTACAGCCTTAACATTGGGTGACCCCTCTGCCCACAATATTTTGCTACAGATCACTGCAGGGGCAATTCCTTTATGAAATTCCAGCCAGCTTAAATGTTACCCCCTGAGACAGGTTTCTGTGACAACACCCAGGTAGAGGTGAATTGTAATGTTATCTCTACTTTACTTTAGACATGCACTGACTTCTTTGCCAGCTATTTTCCTACCTTCTCCACTTTTTGCTAAAATTTAGTGAGCAGGAAGCTTGTCTAGAAGATAGAACAGTACCCAGGTGCATGGAGGCTTAATAAATATCTGCATAAATGAATGAATGATTTGGCAGTACTGTCTATCACATTTTCAAAAAGCATCCTTTCCTTCTACCTCCCAATTTTAGGCTGACCAGCATACTCAAGAGTTCCTTAAAAAATTTTTAAGGTTGTGTTTCTAAGGACAATAGTTTTCATGAGCTTGAGGTTTAACTATGTTCATTTATCTTTGACCATAGTTGCCCTGGTTTTCACACGAGCAAAAGCTCTATGAGAAACCACTTGAGACTGATAGTGAATTATTTTTATATGAGCTCTTTATAAATCTCAAGCTACATGCAATAGATGGTATTTGGTGGCTTGCTTTTATTCACTTAATAACAACATATTTTAAACATGTTTTCTTGTTTTTAGATATTATTTTACAACAGCATTTTATGGCTGACTAATATCTAATGAATAATATATTCAATCAATACTTATTTCTGAACAATTGGATTGTTTCTAATTTTTTAATATTGTAAACATAAATATCCTGTGCTTAAATCATTTCACCTATCTTTGATTATTTACTTAGGATAAATTCCTAGAAGAAAAATATTCCTAGACAGAAAGTATTCAATTTTTTATATTGAATCTTTTTTTTTTTTTTTTTTTTTTTTGAGACAGAGTCTCGCTTTGTTGCCCAGGCTAGAGTGAGTGCCGTGGCGTCAGCCTAGCTCACAGCAACCTCAAACTCCTGGGCTCAAGCGATCCTCCTGCCTCAGCCTCCCGAGTAGCTGGGACTACAGGCACGAGCCACCATGCCCGGCTGATTTTTATATTATATATATTAGTTGGCCAATTAATTTCTTTCTATTTTTATGGTAGAGACGGGGTCTCGCTCAGGCTGGTTTTGAACTCCTGACCTTGAGCAATCCGCCCGCCTCGGCCTCCCAGAGTGCTAGGATTACAGGCGTGAGCCACAGCGCCCGGCCTTTATATTGAATCTTGATGACTTGATACTGCTTTGCAAAATGATGGCTATGCCTCCCCACCTCCTACCACGGAGAACAGGAAAATAGTAATAGTTAAGCATCAGAAGTGACCCGAAGCACACTAAGTACATATTTCACTTTATCTTTAAAATGACCCTTAAAATGATCCTAAAAAGAGCAGTACTAAATCCATTTAAGGATTAGGAAGCTGGATAGAACAGTGCAGAAAAGCAGCCCGAGGTCACACAGCTGCAAATTCAGAGCTGAAATTCAAACCTAGACTTTGCCTGCTGGGCCTGCTGTCCAGACACAGACTTTACTCGCTGCTGCACTGAGGACGAAATTGTGTTGTCACATGCCGTGGGGCCTCAGTGACTGCAGAATCATCTGTGCTGTCTTACTCCATTTGTGCTGCTATATTAAAATGCCACGGACTGAGTAATTTATAAAGAACAAAAATTTCTCTCTCACAGTTCCAGAGCTGGGAAGTCCAAGGTCAAGGCACAAGCTTTCTGTGTTTACTGAGGATCTTCTTGCTGTGTTCTTACATGGCAGAAGGTGAAAGGGCCAAAGGGCCCTAAACTAGATTGCTTGATTCCTTTAATAAGGGCACTAATCCCTCTTGATAATAGCAAGAGGGGATTAAGTTTCAACAGGAATTTGGGAAGGGACATAACCATTCAAACCATGGCAATCACAGCAAAGAGTTCAAGACCAATGATTTCAAATTACTTACTCCAACATTTAATTGGTTTATATCCAAAAACCTATATTTAGCAGTTTAATTATTTACCCAGGGGAACAGCCTGCAACTATTATATCCTATAATTCACCTGAAAGTTATATGATTCAAAATTGAGTGTTTTATGGGATTTTGTTGAAGAAAAAAAAAAAACTTTTAATGGCCACGTGAAACATTTGTTAACACTTTATTGAATTTTTCCCAGTTCAAATTACTAGCGTTGTGTTCTAAGGTATAAAACTTTGGGTCTCAGTCAACATTATCTGAAGAAAAAAAAAAAAAAACCACAGATGAAACTATGGCTCTGCCCACAGCTATTTCTTTTCCCACCTTTACCTGACTCCCTAATTTCTCAGGAGGCTGTAAATCCTGCATCTGCTCAGTTGACAGCACATGCAAACAGATCCTCCCTTAATCCATTAGGATTAAGATTGGGCACACAGGTTTTATTAGGAGTTTTGTTGCAGAAAGCAATATCCCTTGATAAGCTTCAATATCCCTTCAATATCCCTTGAAGATGGCTATGTCATCTTCACAAATACTCGGAACATCCTAACATTCTATGAGACTTTGCTTGACTTTGTTTTAAGGCTGACAGCCTACAGGGAGGAATGTTCTAGGTAAGTTCCTAGGGCACTCCCCAATCTTATCATCAGGAGTGTTACAGAGTGATTATGAACTGTACACAAAGCAGCCCTTGCAATACTTTTTGTTTGTTTGTTTGTTTATATTGTGTGTGTGCTGTAAATTTTGGTTATATCTCTCCCCTCCTCCATTTGGCTGCTATGATGTTCAGAAACAAATTTATGGCCCACAGCTAATAACATCAAGGCTTTTAAGGCATGAGTATGTTCTAACCCCATCCTTCTGTTATCTCACTTTTCCAATCCTTATTTTCCCTTCATTTTCATTACCTTACTTTTTTTTTGTATGTGTTTTTATACTACATATATTCTGCTAGTGGAACCCTCCTAAATGCTTTTGGGAATGAAACAAAATAAAAATGTTTCAAGAATTGTGGAAAATTTTATTTTTCAAGGAACTCAAAATCATTTATCAGCAAATTAATTAAGGAGTATTTCCTATATGTTCTTTTAAAGCTAGAATAGAGAAAAGCAACAAATTGAAAATGTTGCCCCTACTGACAGAGAACTCACCCAAGCAGAATTTTAAAAACTAGAAAGAAAATCTCTACTTGCCCATAATAAGCTCCCAAATTATGTCCCTGTCAAAAGAAAAATGTTGAGGAGAGCATATAAGAAATAAAATTGTTCAGAAAAAAAAAAAAAAGCAAGGTAACGTTCTTTTGTGTGCCATACTGTGTTCCATTCCACTATCACACATCACATGACAGCGTTCATGATCCGTTCCTTTGTGCAGTGGACTACTCTGGGCGCAGCGAACCAATGCACATATTGACGATCATCATAGAAGGTTGAAAGGTGACCCTTCAAGAGATATGTCCACTTCCTGACCCCAAGAACCTCTGAATATGACTTTCGTTTGGGAAAAGGATATTTGAAGATGTAATTAAGGATCTTGAACTGGAATCACCCTGGATTACCCTGATAAGCCCTACATCCAAGGGTCCCTTTAAAAGATGCCCAGAGAGACACAGAGAAGGGCAGGGCCCACATAAAGACAGAGGCAGAGACTGGAGTAATGTGGCCTCGTGCCAAGTAACTCCTCCTGCCCCCAGAAGCTGGAAGACACAAGGAGCAGAATCTCCCCTAGGGCAACCAGAAGAAAGCACAGCCCTATGGACACTTTGATTTCTGACTTCCGGCCTGCAGAATTGTGAGAGAATGAATTTCTGTTGTATCAAGATACCCAGTTTTTAGTCATTTATTCTGGCAGCCCCAGGAATTCATGGGGTCCCTTTGAGTTCTCTGTTGGGCTTTTGTTGCTTTTGTTGGGCTGTGTGAGCTTTTGTTGCTAAAATGACAGAATCCCTAAATATCTGCATGTGGGCTTCCCAGCCTGGCGGGGATTATGCGGATGGGACAGAATTCTGGAAACTGCCACTGGAATCCTCCAAAATTTAAGTTTAAGCCCAAGGGAATAGATACCATGAGTCTAACTCAGTGTTTCAGACTTTATCATTTCTTCATTCTGATCTGTATTATTAATATTTTCTTGGCACCTAGTTAAAGGTACTGCCCTCCTAACCAATAATAAACCACCTCAGTAAAATATGTCAGGGCAGGAGAGTTCCAGAAAGTATGACAGAGGCCATTTCTCAATGGATGCTGTGGATCGTTTTCACCAGAGTCCTCCTGGGAAGGGACTGCCCTTCACATTTCTCCTTCCTCTCCCACCAGGTGTTGGCTTCAGCACCCTTTATTGGTGCCCCATGGCTCTATGTTTTGCCCTCCTTATATCACTGTGAACCTTCTCCAACCATTCTATGTTGGAATAGGTGCTGTGTGCACGTGTGAGTATGCATGTGTGTGCGTGTATGTGTGTGTGTATGTTCGTGTCTCATGCTGGGCACAGACAGGTAGAGTGGGTGTGCAGGGCTTCAGGATGCTCCCAGGCTAGAGACCACTGGGGCTTCTGAAATGTGAGCACCCAACCACCATCATCTGTGGGAGCGCCTGGAAGAGACACGGTGGGAAGAGCTTAGAGGCACAGAGGTACGGCCTGCCCAAGGCCCGAGGTCTTCTCGCTGGGAGGAAGAGGTGGCGAGGCCCTTCCCCCTTCCAGGCAGAGGAACAGGATGTGCAGTAGATGGACAGTGTAGACCTGCAGTGCTGCCTGCATTCTGGCGCCTACTGTCTCTCTAGGGTTTACGTTTTAACTGACGGCCTCCGCAGCAGCCCTCCAGCCACACATCGTGTCCAGAGGGCAACGTTGTCTTCCCCTGATGGTCGTGTTTTGGTTTGAGCACCCTGTCGTAGGTGAGGACATCTGTACCAGACACCTCATCGGTGTTAGATAAATGTCTGTGATTTTCTGATTGTTATTGCTAGTCTAACCCCAAAGCAGTAATACTCACATCCCTTTTTTATTTACAATTGAGAGGCCCCCTCTTTGTTCAGGGACAAGACCAAAGAACTCAGCATGGCCCTCTGGTGTCACCATCTGCTCCCTGGACTTTTCCAAATCAGCCAAGGTTCCCCCCTACTCCACTCCCATTCCCTCCCTCTATCCTACTCTCCTCTCCTTCTCCTTCCTTCCTCTCTGCCAGATTCTGTTTAATATTTTCACAGTCCTGAGAAACAGCAACTGATGTGCCCATCTTAGAGCTCCTGTTGGATGTAACTCATTATTAAATAGATTTGTGTGTTCCTTGTTCTCCAAATGTGGTAACTATGCACAAGTGAGGCTGAGAAAGAGGCAGGTAGCTTAGAGGGTGCTCCTGTGTTCCAGCGGCACTTAGTGTTTATCAAGAGTTGAAGTGTGATTTCTTCCCCCTTTCTGAGCAAAGAAAAAAATAGCTCTATGTGAATACACAGAATTCAGAATGATTTATCTTTTTTTTTTTTTTTTTCAGGCCAAACTTCGTATGCCTAAGGAACAGCTGGAACTATTGAAGTGAGTGAGATGTTCTGATATGCACCACTTTCTAGTGTGGCTCCAAATACTGAAATGTTTTTGTAAAATTATACAACTAAAATAATTTCTCCATAATAATAATATGCCTTTCCTCTTCGTGCCAGTTAGGAGCATTTTTATGGCCTTTTCTTCTTGTCTATTATGAAAAGACAACATATCTGTTTTTAGATAATATACATGCATAAGTGAAGGAAAGCAATTTTTCTTGGGTTGTTTCCTTCTTCTGATAAATTCAAATAAAAATAAACATACTATTTTAAATATTAAATATGGCATGTATAGATTAATTTACTTCTGATCTTTTAATCCTTTCTCTTTTTCTTTGTCTTCCTCCTTTCACTCTATCTGCATATATGAATAGAGAAATGCTAGGAATGATGACACAAATGGTAATAATGATTATTTCTGGGTGTAAAATATTGTTTTATTTCTTGGAGTAACTTTTGTTTCTTATGCTTTTCTTTTTTTTCTTTATAATAAGCATGTTTTTTTAAAACAAAAACAATAGCATTTTTATTATTATAGGTAATTACTTACCCTTTTATATAAATATGATCTCAATTTTGTTACTAATTTTTTGCATGGAATAAAAACTGTTAGAAATACACCAAAATTTAACAATGTTTCTTTCTTCACAATGTTTGTATTTTTCCAATTTTAACATGTATTGTTTTATAATTTGGGAAAAAATACTAGACAAATAGTGCTTATATTTTTCCATAAAGAAATACTTAGATACTTGACATTTTCTTATTCTCTCTACCAGTAATTTTTAAACAGTAAAAGTAGCAGAATTTATTCTTGGAAAGTAAAATCTTACCTCTCAGGCTACAAAAGGTAGAATGTCCCGCTGGCTGGATCCCTCCTCCCCTCACTTGCCAAAGTCGCTTTCACAGAACTCCAGGCCACAGTTTGAAAACCACTGCCCTGTACCACACTTGAAATGTAAGGTGCTCCTGATTTGAAGGAGGGCATCTTGGGATACAGGATTCGCATGTGTGAAGTCACCCGGCCAGGGACAGGCAAGGTTGACTGAGCTCCGCCTGCCAGGTGCAGAGTCCAGCCAAGCACTAGGACACCCTCCACAAAGCGTCATGCCTCTGCTTTTCTCATGTTGTGAAAAGTAAGGCTTTAGACAAATGGGCATCCTCTGCTCTCCTGGCACTTGAACATTTATTTCCTCAACACCGTAAGACACCTCTTCATGTGGCGGGCACCAAAGCCCAGCAGCAGTGATGACACGAACTTTACACCTTCCTCCTCTCGTGCTGTGGTTCTCCATTTACAGGAAAGAAAGCCAGACTTTGGAAAACAATTTTCGAGACATTCTATTTTTAATTGAGCAAATAGATGTTCTGAAGGCTCTGCTCAGAGACGTGAAGGACGGCGCATACAATCAGAGCTGGAGCACCCATGGAGACCCCGCCAGGCATCAGGATTCCACGGAGGCCCTCAATGAGGCAAGCTGCGGGGTGGCGTGGTGGGGCAGGGTGAGTTAGTATTTGCCCTGGTGCCACATTCTGCCACTCCTCTGCATGGTGAATTGAGTGCTAACTGGCACTTGGCTTGTGTCCTCCCTCTTCTTTAAGATTCTTCCCTGACATTAGCTTTTCAAAAATGCTGTGTCACAGAGAAGGCATTCTACTGCATATGCCTTACTTTGCCCCCAAATAAATAACTGATTGTTTTGTTTTCTAGTAAAAAGACAAAAAAACGCGAGATCACTCAGAAATAGCAGTCTCTGAAGGTCCATACACAAATACTTAAATAGCAGATTTTCATTTACCACCCTTATAGCTCACATACTTGGAAAGGTCAGCACTAGATTTTGGCAAAATTATGATGAAAACCAACAAGCTTGGTTTTGCTTCTTTCTCTTCTGCTGCTACCAGCACTACCTTCTATGCCTTCCTTAATGTCTACTTTTCAAAATGCACAGAAACCTGACACTGACCCCCTGCTGCCTTCCAGGCCCCATTTCATCCTTGTAAATGTTACCATTGTTGCAGTAGTCAGTGAGAACTCCAACTGTTATCTCTGCTCAGAATACTGGCTTTTTTTTTTTTTTTAATGAGAGTATCCTTCAGAGCCCAATATTGATTCAAGTGGATGAAAAAATTTCTAATATAAGCGATCATGCACTTTGTGTAAACTGCCTTAATTCCCACATAGCTCTAGTCTTTGTTGCTAAGCATAGGATACTAATGAAAAGGGGAGCACAACTGTTCACATGGTGAGACTTCATCTTGCACCTTGCAGGGGAGCACTGTGTACAGTGGTTAAGGGTCCCCAGGGTCACCATGCTGTGTGATCTTGTGGGAGTCCCTGAGTACATCTTTGCTTTAGTTACCTCATATACCTGAGAAGGACTGCCCCCACAGAGCTGTTAAGATGATGCTGCAAATCCATATCATGTGCCTGGTTCAGAATGTGGCTGCTAGGTGTTCACTGTTGTCATTATTTTGTAGATTAAGGAACTTAGGTCCAAATCAATAAAGTGAATGGTTAAAACCCAAGTATTTGGCAAAGACTGTTAACAGAAAACTGTTTTAAAAATTTGTACAGGAAATGACAAACTTGGTCAATTATGTACTTAAGAAGCTGAGAGAGGACCAAGTCCAGATGGCTGATTATGCCTTGAAGTCGGCTGGTGAGTAGAGAAAAAGTGAAAAGACAAGCATTAAAAAAAACAAAAAGAATGTGTTAAGTGTGTCTCTAGTCTCTAAATTTCTCTATAAGGAAAACGTATTTATCTATCTGGTAACTTGAGAAGGGATAAAGATTAATAAATTCAGATAATAAAGAAGAGACTAGAAATGGTTGCCATTGATTGCTCTCTGAATGCAAATCTTAGAGGGACACAACCTGTGCCACTTCATTAGTGTGCATCTCGGAGAACCACCAGCAAAGCTGGGATGCCACAGTGGAGTTGAGGAATGCAGAAAATGTTATAGTATTTCATATTATTATTATATACTTAAATGACTTGTAATGACTAATCTAAATGCATTGCTAGTGATTAAATGACAGGGTTTAAAGGTTGTATATAAAGTTCTTAATATTTTCCAATTAAAATTAATTCTTAAGGGCTTAGGCAGTGAATCATTAACCTTGGTCTTCCCTGTCACGCTCTGCCTGTACTACTCACGAACAAGACGCGCTTAGTGAGCAATGTGGAAGGAAAGAAGGGAGGGATGGCAGGGATAGAAGGAGGAAGAAAATATAAAACACACGGTAACACTAATTTTAATCAATTGACAGTCAGATTTATGCTGAGGAAATGAATTTCTGTCTTGCATGAACTGGAGAGCATTTGGAAGAGAAGGGTGACAAAGTCATGTGAATGTGTGGTTTTCAAGAGAGTGAGCTAGGACAGAACTCTCCTGACCCTGGTTCCCTGAAACATGGGGAACATGAGTATTAGGGTAAGATGGAGGAGGAAATAGAATTGGTTTTCCTACCAGTTTTGGCATTCTGATACACTTTTTAAAATGCTTTTCTCCTTCTTTTCTGTTGACTGTATTGACAACTTCCATTTTGAAAAACCCTTGATGACTAATGTAAGTCCTTGAGTATCCCATGTAGAATAAGGAAACGCAGAAAAGGTTATGGCTTCTCAATAACTTTCAGTGTGAAAACACGGCACCAGCTCTTGTTTGGCCAAGATGGAGAAAGCCTATTTTAGTCTCTCTCTCCAACTAATTAAAGTGGAAAAATATGGACAAAATTCAAGAGCAACTACCTTAGTGTGATGAAAAGTAGACAAAAGTAGCCAGCTGGTATAAGGGAATCAAAATTGTGGAAGTGAGCTGTATGGGGGAGAGTTTTCTTTTTTCTTTTCTTTTTTCTCACAGCTTAGGCTGAGGCATGCTGTAATTACAGAGCTGCAAAGCAGTGGAGCTAAAATTGTGAGAGAAACCCTACTTTTTTAGCCCAAGAACCTAAAAAAGCAGTCCTGTGGGCCACAGAGTATGGGGAGAAGGCCTGGGCAGACCGAGCTAGAGACACATGCTCCCATGTCTGTCTGCAGCCAGCTTCTTGGCTCACCTCTCAGCTGCTCATTCAAGGGCACAGAACTGAAACAGTATGGCGGAGGCTTTGAGAATTTGACAAGGATTCAAGTCTTGTACCAAGCCCTGAGTGGCACGTGTGTAAGACAGGCCTATAACAAAGGTTTGGACACTGAACGGAGATGGGAACCACCACCCAAAGAAAAGAAGGGAGGGCTTGTGCCCTGAACATCTCTGGGATGATTGCTGAAACACACGAAAGCATTACCTCATAGTTTGTTATAGGACTCAGCGCCTCACAATATAATATTCAATATGTCTGGGGTACAATTCACAATTACTCAGCATGCAAAGTCCTAGGGAAATGAGACCAATTTCTCAGGGAAAAGACAATCAACAGATGCCAGCCCATCATGACACAGATGTTGGAGTTAACACACAAAGACTTGAAGCAGCTGGTATGACACACTTCGTAAGGAGAAGGTAAGTACACTAAAATGAATGAAAAGATACAAGTTCTCAGCTAAGAAATAGAATCTATAAAAAAAGAACTGGACGGAAATTTTAGAACTGAAAATATAATATCATAAATGAAATAAATGAAAATAAATATAATATAAATAAAATAAAATTTTATTTAACAATAAACAAAGACAGAGAAAAGAAGTGGTGAAATTGAAGATAGATTGATAGAAATTATCCAATTCAAAGAATGCAAAAAATTTTGAAAAACAATATGAACAGAGCTTCAGAAACCTATGGGACAATATAAAAAGAAGTAACATTCTTATTCTTATAGTCTCAGAGGGAGATAAGTAAGAGATCAATGTAGAAAAATAATTTGAGGAAGTAATGTCTTGAAAAATCTCACATTTGATTTAAAAAACATAAATTTACAGATTCAAGAAACAGAAAATCAGAAACAAGATAATATTCATGGAAAACTACATCCAGACACATCATAATTAAATTGCTTAAGATCAAAGATAAAGAAAAAAATCTTGAAAGCAGCTAAAGAAAAAAACCCACACATTATCTATAGGAGAACAATTATTCAAATGACTGTGGATTTCTTATCAGAAAAAAAGGAGACCAAAGTGAAGCGAGCTACATCTTTAAAGTATTGAAGGAGAGGACATGGTGATGCAGAATTCTATATCCACCAGAAATATCCTTCAGGAATGAAGGTGAAATGAAGACATCCTTTGTTGGTGGAAAACTAAGAGAATTCTCTTCCAACAGATCTGCTAAAGGAAGGTTCTTCAACTAAAGAGAAATGATGCCAGGAAAGAGACTTGGGACTTCAAGAATGAAGAAAGAGCAACAGATAAGATAAATGTGCATACATATAAAGTAATTCTCTTAAGTTCTTTAAAACAAATATGGCTGTTGAAAGAAAACACTATAACATTATGGGGTATTGATACATGCAGATCTAATACTATGACAACCTTAAAGGAAAAGTCAGTGGGTGAGGCTTAAGGGACATCTATCATTATAAAGATTGTATATCAGTGGTAAAATACTAACACCAAATAAACCATGAGAGTTAGGTATGTGCATTGTTATCTCCAGAACAACTACTTTTAAAAAATATGAAGATAAACAAAAGCCAATGGATAAATTAAAATGGAATAAAATATTTTAACTAATGTAAAAGGAGGCAGAAAAGGGAGATGAAGAAGAACCAGGAGAAAAAATAATAATAAAATGGTAGATTTAAATCCAATGATGTCAATAGGCATACTAAATGTACATGGTATAGACATCAGATTGTCAGACTGAATAAAAAGCAAGACTCAAATATATGCTGTCTACAAGAAATTCTCTTTAATTATACTGAAAGTAAAAAGATAGAAAAAGATGTACCATGTAAACAATGATTTTTTACCTATATTACCTATAGTAAATTACCTATATTAATATCAGACTGAGTAAATTAAACTTCAAGATACAGAATATTTTTATATTACAATATAATATTCTATTATCCTATAAGGATAAAAAGGGTACTTCACCAAGAAGACATAGTAATCCTAAATGTGATTGCATCAAAATAGATGAAGCAAAATATGATAGAACTAAAAGGAAAATTTCACAAATTCACAATTTTAATTAGAGACTTCAACACTCTTCTCTGTAATTAATTGAAAAAGAAGATAGAAAATTTACCTGAATGTAAAAAAAAAAAATCTAAACAACACTACTGAAAGTTTTATCTAATTGATATTTATGGTACATTCCACCAAACATCAAAATATACCTTGTTTGTAAGTGCAGATGGTTCTTTCACAAAGACATATCATATTCTAGGCAAAGAAACATACCTTAATACATTTAAAATAATTGAAATCACATGGAGTATGTTCTCTGAATATAATGGAAATACAAACTAGAAATCAGTAACAGAAAGATATCTAAAAGATCCCCAAATATATGGAAATTAAACAATACATTTCTAAATTACCATGAGTCAAAGAGAAAGTTACAATAAAAATTAGAAGATATTTTGAACTAAATGGGAATTAAAAGGTAAAGTATCAAAATTTATGGGTTACAGCTAAAGCAACGTTTAGAGCAAAATTTATAGCAACAGATGCTTACATTAGAAAATAAGAAAGGATTCAAATCAGTGTTCTAAATTTCCACTTTAATACACTAGACACTAAATCAAGGAAAAGGAAGTATATAATAAAGAACATAATAAAATTTAAATAGAGAAAAACAATGAAACTAAAATCTAGTTCTTTGAAAAAAAATTGATAGAATTCTAGCCAGACCAACCAAGCAGTGGGGTATAGGGATGGGGAGAGAAGACACAAATTACCTGTATCAGGAATGAAAGAGAGAACATTTATATAGACCCTACAGAATTAAACAGATAATAAATGAATATGACAACTTCATGCCCCAAAACTTGGCAATTTAGGTAACCTGTACAAATCTCTTGAAATATGCAAACTATCAAAGGTCACTCAAGAAAAGTAGACAACTTATATTTATTAAATAAATTAAATGTATGGTTAAAACCCTTCTACGAAAGAGAGCTCCAAGCTTAGATGACTTTATTGGTGATGTCCACCAGAAATTTAAGAAAGAAAAAATACTACTGCACAAATATTAATACAAAGTAGAAGAGGAGGGAGAACTTTTCAGCTTATTTTATGAGGCTATCATTATCTGATACCAAAATTAGACAAAGACATTCCAAAAAACCAGAACTATGTAGACCAATATACCTCATGGACAGAAGGGCTTAGCTTCATCTATTTTGAAGCTCTTTTAGATGCAATCACATTTAGGATTATTATGTGTTTTGGGGAAATTGTCCTTTTTATCATTAATGTATTATCCTTCAACAAAATATTAGCAAATACCATCCAATAATATGGAAGAATGATAATACAATATGACTAAGTGGTGTTTATCCTAGAAATTCAATGCTGGTTTATTATTGTAAAATAAGTCAATGAAATTTATGAAGTCAACATACTAAAAAATCTGATTATTATTAGGTCATCAAATTAGATTCACTAAAATTATTTAGCAAAATTCAATATTTATTATAAAAATTAAGAAAATTCAGCATTTATTATAAAAACTCAGCAAACTAAAAAAATAATTATTTCCTCAGTCTGATAAAGGACTCTTGCAAAATTCCTCCAGCTACAGTAGACTTATTTGTGAAAGACTAATTGTTTTCTTCCTAAGAAACAAAATAAGGATATCTACTCTCACCATTCTTATTCAACATTGTAATAGAAGTCCTAACCAATAAGACAAGAAACAAAAGAAGAGATAGAAAGAAGGGGGGGAAGGAGAGAGGAAAGAAGCATGAAAATTGGAAAAGAAGAAATAAAAATGCCTCAAATATTCACAGACAATATGATTGCTTACATAGAAAAATCACCAAAAACTCTACTAGATTAGTAAAATTTACAAGTTCAAGTGGATTTTATAATTTCTATATACTAGTAATAAAAATTAGAAAGAGATAATTAAAAAAAACAGTACTATTCACAATCACAGTAAAAAAAAACATGAAACACTTAGGTATAAGTCTAGCAAAATATGTGTGGGATCTGTGTGCTAAAAACTAAAAAAACAATAATGAAAGAAATAAGGCCTAAATAAATGGACAAATATACCATGTTCATGGATTAGAAGACTCAATACTGTAAAGATTGTAATACTCCCCAACTTGTCTATGGATTCAACACAATTGTAATCAAAATCCCAGTAGGATTATTTGTAGAAATCAACAAGCTATTTCTAAAATAGAATGGAATGACAAAGGAATTAGAATAGCCAAATCAGTTTTGGAAAAAGAAAAAGAACAAAGTTGGAGAACTCATACCTTCTGATTTAAACTTTACTCTAAAGTTACAGAAATCAAGAGAGAACGGTATTAGTGAAATCCAATGGAGCAACACAGAAAGTCCAGAAATAGTCCACATGTATGTGGGGAATTGATTTTTGACAAAGGAGGAAAGTCATGTCAATGGTGCTGGAAAAAGTGGACATTCACATTCAAAAATAAACCTTGGCCTAGAACTCACACTTTATAAAAATTAACCCCAAATGGGTCACAGGCCTAAATATAAAGTTTAGAACTATAAAACTTTTAGAAGAAAAATAAGAGAAAATCTTTTCGATCTTGAGTTAGAAAAAGATTTCTTAAATATGCCACCAAAAACTGTGATCTGTAACATGAAAGAATGGATAATTTGGACTTCACCAAAATTAACTTCTGTTCTGCAAAGGACAGTTTAGAGAATGGACAAGTCACAAGCTGGGAGAGAATATTTGCAAACCATTTATACACATTCTTGTATCCAGAATTTATAAAAACTCTCAAGCCTCAATACTAAGCAGACAGACAACCAAATAAAAAATAGACAAAAGATTTGGAAGACACTTCATTAAAGAAGATATATGAATATCAAAAAACCACATGAAAATAAACTCTAAATTATTATTTCTTAGTGAAATGTAAATTAAAACCACAGTGATATACCACTAAACACCTATTAGAATGACAAACAAACCAGAACTGATCACACCAAGTGCTGGCAAATGCAAAACAACTGGCACTTTCAAACACTTCTGGTGAGAATGTAACATGGTACAGCTATTTTGGAAAATAGTTTGACAATTTCCTATGAAGTTAAATGTAATACCTTATGACCCGGCAATCCCACCTGTAGGTACTTACCTAAGATAAATTAAAACTCATATGAGAATGTCTATCACAAGTGTATTGATAATCACCAAAATTGAGAATAACCCAAATGTTCATTGACAAATGACTGATGTATCCATACAGTGGACTACTTCTCAGCGGGCAATACAAAGGAACAAACTACTAAATACTCATTACAACACCCACCCATGAATCCCACATGCATTTGGCTAAGTGAAAGCAGCCATATTCAAAAGGCTACATACTGTGATTGACTACAAAAGGACAGCCAAAGGAATGTCCATAATAGGTAAATCTATAGAGAGTATAGATTTAATAGATTAGTGATTGTCTAGCAATGGGGCAGGAGGTTGGGGGAAAATGAGGAGTGACTGCTGATTGCTTTGGATTTCTTTTGGGGCCATTTAAATTTTCTAAAATTGAATGTGGCTACACAACTCTGAGAATATGCTACAAAACACTGAATTCAAAATGGTGAACTGTATTATGTGAATTATATCTTAATAAAGCTGATTAAAAAATGAATGAATGAAAAAAGTGAATAAATATGAATTTACTAAAATTTCCCACAATACCACAATTTAAATTTTTTCTTGAAAGGGTTATGTGTGTGAGGGAGGGGTTTCAGTGCTCACATCAACCCATGAAAGTGTAGTTCCAGTCCAGTCAGTCAGTTGAGTAAGAATATTCATCCGGCAGTCAGTGTCAGCCTTCAAAAACAAGGTGCACATAGGGTGCAGATAAAATAAAGGATGCCTGTCAAATTTGAATTTCAGACAAAGAGCAAATAATTTTTTATTATAAATATGTCCCAAATACTGTATGGGGTATGACTACTACTAAAAAATTCTTTGTTTATTGAAATTCAAATTTAAATGGCAGCCTTGTATTTTTACTTGCTAAATCTGGAATCTCTAAGTACACATTTACTATTTCAAGTTGTGCCATCTTAGAAAAAATACTGGCAATCAGACATTTGGTCAGGCATATGTATTTTTAATGTTATATTGTGTTACCCAAATGAAATTTGAGGAAGTGATTTGCATTTTCTTTATTTCTTATGTATAAAATATATTTTACTTCTAAAATAAAGTAACCTGAAGAGATAGTATTTATTTGATGGATGCATTTTATATTTGTTTGATTAAAATGAAAATTCAATGAATCTGCGTAATTACTATTCTGAATATAACTTGAAGGACATTTATGACGTTGGTTATCTGGGTTTTTTGTTTTTGTTTTTGAGTGAATGTGCCTGATAGAAAGTCTCATTTATCAGATGAGCTATTAAAATATGAAGATCCATGTATCTTTTGGGGCAATAAACAGAATCCATGCAATATTTCCATCTCTAATTTAATTGCCCCCAAATTAAATTTTTTGTCATAATATCAGTTTCAGAAATGTCGCAAAACTACACAGAGTAAACGTGGCTTTCTCAAAGTGACAACATTTCAGTGGTGATCAAAACTGTCATACTTTTTCTACCAATTCCTGAGTGTGAATTTTACCTCATTTATAATTTTCCAAATAATAGTTTTCCAAAGATATTATTAAAATCCAAGTAATATGTTTTGAATTGTATATGTAATTTTTTATTTAAAAATTATTTTATAATTTTAGGAGCCTCCATCATTGAAGCTGGGACTTCAGAAAGTTACAAAAATCATAAGGCAAAACTGTACTGGCATGGGATAGGTTTCCTAAATTATGAAATGCCTCCAGATATTATTCTTCAGGTAAAGCTAAATTAAGAATAACCCATTTCTATTTTAGGATTTTGTTCCTTCTCACTATTTATCATGAAAATATTAACTTTAAAATGGAGGCATTGTAAGAGTCTCTAAACTTGTTGCAGAACATGAAATCATCTCCTTACTATTTTTATAGTCAGTACACTGCATGAATTATGTCTTAATTTACAGTCAGTAAACTATGTTTATTTATTTCTTTATTATTTTAAAGTCAGTATACTAGATTATTTGCTTCTCAAATAGAACAAATAAACAGGTAAACACTGAAGGAATTTGTCACTGCTAGACCTGTCCTACATGAAATACACAAAATTACACTATCCATGGAACAGCACAATAGATACCCACCAGTATAAAAATACCTGAAAGTTAAAGCTCACAGCTGTAATAAAACAACAGCACAAGAGGGAAAACAAAACAATAAGGCATCATCCAACATGATGAATAGAACAGTATCCCACACATCACTATTAACACTGAACACGAATGGTCTGAATGTCCCACCTAAAAGACAGGGACTGGCTGAATGGATGAAAAAACACATCTCAAGGGCTGGGTGTGGTGGCTCACGCCTGTAATCCTAGCACTCTGGGAGACTGAGGTGGGTGGATCGCTCAAGTCAGGTGTTCGAAACCAGCCTGAGCAAGAGTGGTTGCCTGTCTCTACTAAAAAATAGAAAGAAATTAATTGGCCAACTAAAAATATATAGAAAAAATTAGCCAAGGCTGTCTCTACTAAAAAATAGAAAGAAATTAATTGGCCAACTAAAAATATATAGAAAAAATTAGCCGAGCCTGGTGGTGCATGCCTGTAGTCGCAGCTACTCAGGAGACTGAGGCAGTAGGATTGCTTGAGCCCAAGAGTTTGAGGTTTCTGTGAGCTAGGCTGATGCTACGGCACTCTAGCCCGGGCAACAGAGTGAGACTCTGTCTCAAAAAAACCAAAAACCAAAAAAACACACACACATCCCAAGTATGTGCTGTCTCTAAGAAATGCATCTAACTCACAAGGATTCACACAGACTCAAAGTAAAGGGATGGAAAAAATCTTCCATGCAAATAGAAACCCAAGCTGAGCAGGTATAGCCATTTTCATTTCAGATAAAATTAACTTTAAATCAACCAAAAAAAAAAAAAAAAGACAAAGATGGTGATTATATAAGAGATTAATTCAGTGCTTTCTTTCCAGCCGGATGTCTACCCTGGAAAGTGCTGGGCCTTCCCAGGCTCTCAGGGCCATACCCTAATCAAGCTTGCCAGGAAGATTATACCAACTGCGGTTACCATGGAGCATATCTCAGAAAAGGTGTCTCCCTCAGGAAACATCTCCAGCGCACCCAAGGAATTTTCTGTCTATGTAAGCTGTCTAAACCTTTTATTCAAGTTGGCCTGTGACAGAAGGTGGTTGGCTAGGAATTAGGAGCTGAACTTTCACCTTAACCATGTAGCTAACTAGTTGTGTCACTTACTTCCTAGACCTCTGCTTTCTCATCTACAAAGGGAAAGGGTGAGACCAGATAATTTCTATTACTTAATTTTATTTTTTACTTTTATCAAAGTCATACATGTACAATTGAAAAATCAAATATTTCCATAGAGTTTATAATGAAACAGTGGTTCCTTGTCCCACTTCTCCCCACCCCCAATTCTCATTATCCTAAAGCTTCCACTTGCAACAATTTTAGCTGCTTATTTGTATACTTGCCCCCATATTTGCTTTTACTATTCGTTCTTAATTTTTTAGTTTTGGTTGTTTGATCTGCAGACATCCTCCAATGGAAAATGAAGATTAGTTCTCTTCCATGGCTCTGCACCCTTCTAATATGTTTATGTCCTACTTTTCTTAACAACAGATATATAGAAATATAATTCATCCAATTAAAGTGCACCCTTCAGTGGCTTTTAGTATATTCACAGTGTTGTGTATCCATCACCACAGTCAATTTTAGATGATTTTAATAACCCCACCTAGAAACCCCAGCCCCCTTAGCTGTCACCTCCCATTTCCCCATCACCCTCCCACAGCCCCTGGCAGCCACTAACCACTCTGCCTCTGTAAGTTTACCTCCTCCGGACATTTCATGTAAGTGGAATCATATAGTATGGAGTCTTTTGTGAATGGCTTCTTTCACTTAGCATAATGTTTTCAAGGTTCATCCATGATGTAGCATGTGTCAGTATGTCATTTCTTTTTGATTGCTGAATAATATTTCATTGCATGGATAGATCATGTTTTATTTATCCATTCATAAGTTGATGGAATTTGAGTTATTTATACTTTTTTGGGCTATTTTGAATAGTGCGGCTGTGAACATTTGTGTACAAGATTCTGTGTGGACACTGGCTTTTGTTTCTCTTGAAGTCCCTAAGACTAGAATTCTAGTCCCTAAGACTAGAATTGCTAGATCATATGGCAAATCTAGGTTTAACATTTGAGGCACTGCTATACTACATTATCTTACTTTTTATTTCAGTAGATATTATTTTCATGGTGACTATGTGAACAATACTGTTCTCAGTTGAGCCATTTAGTATACTTGAATGCTAGTCTTTTGTATAATTTTTTGATGTTTTCTGTGGAAATTGCTTTATTTAATTTGCTTAGTTTTCTATATTTCTATCACTAAAACATTCCCAAACTCTTTCTCAGAGGTATAAATATTCTCCCATTATGTTAATTTATGTCAGATAATTTATAAATTTCTTCCTTTCTTTTCTTTTCACTTCTTTTCTTTTTTTCCTGAGATATCCCTTCTAGAGTTGTCTGCCCTTCTGCTCCAACCTGGCTGGTTGCTAGGTAGGCCTGATGCATAACTATCATCATGGGATTTCATTTCTTCATCCTGAGGATTCACCTTACCATCTAATATATTATTTTAAAAAATAATTTCTCTCTTATTTTCCTTTCATGTTATTTTGTTCTACCTTCTGGAATATTTTATCAATTTATATTTTAGCACCTATATTGCATTTTTCACTTTTGTTGTCATGATTATGCTTTCTAAGACTTTTTGTTTCTATAAATATTTTCTTTTCTAGAGTCTAATTTTTTTCTTTCATGGATGCCTTATCTTCTCTTATGACTCTGAAGGTATTCATTGACATCAATTATAGGTTTAGTTTTCTTCTGCTCTTTTCCATATTTCCAAGTGCCACTGCCCCACTTGTGTCTGGCGTCTCTGTCTTTCTCTTGAGGTGCTTGTCGCCAGCGTCTATGAGGCTCCTCTGTCACATGAAGAGCTCAGCCGTACACAGCTGGCTGAAAGCTTTGCGCACACAGTGGGGCTGGTTCACCGAGAGTTTCTCTGGTGATGATCTGGTTGGGCTATTTCTTCCAGGGTCCCCAAAGTGTGGTGTCAGGCGAGTGGACCCTGAGAGGATTGCCATCTTGGCGCGACCGCACACTGGGAGGTGCATGGGGGAGGGCTACAGGCTGTCACTCCACCTGGTGCACAGGATATGACTCACTCCTTGTATGTGTTCTGTGCTAAGGCTGCGCCATCAGCCATCTCCGAGCTAGGAGGAAGAAGAGAGCCTTCTGCTGGGCGTGCCAGGGTAGAGGCAATAGCCTACCATGGACTAGGGGGCTAGCTGCTTTTTGAAATGACTGTCAGGCAAGCCTCAGATTTGGGCCCTCCTCTCCCAACGCACCCCATGGCCCCAATCCGCAGGTCTTTCCCAAGCCCTACAGCATAATTCAGCCTGCTACTGGTTCCATGCTACCCTTTGTGTTTTCACCAGTTTGGACATCTCCAGGTTTTTTTGTGTTAGTGTCTACTCACATTTTTCCCTCATAGGTTTATGCCTTAGCTCAATCCTTTGAAGGATCTGGAGGAGGTCCCAGTGCAAAGCAGCCTGCCTTATATATCATCCAAATGCCTTTACAGCCCGTGACTCTGGCGTTACAAATCAGAGGGCCACTGATTTGATGCGAGCCTGCACCACCCACAAGAGGTGTCTCTAGAAAGTTGAGTTAGGTTGAATTTGAACAGATAAGCCCCATCTCAGAAAGGTGCATAGACTTGCTCCTTATTTAGAGGAATTATGGGTAAATCCTGCAGGAATCTTTTAGTAATAAAAACTACTTCTCATCATGTTCTTCCATATTAGAGAATTTATAAACCAAGTGAAATTAAAATGATAAATAGCAAGGCGCACTGGCTGCTCCTGTAATCCCAGCTACTTGGGAGGCCAAGGTGGGAGGATCATTTGAGCCCACGAGTTTGAGGCCAGCTGAGGCAACATAGAGAAACTTGTTTTCTTTAACCACTTTGGTACCGCGCTCACCGGCTGGGAAACCTTGCCCACAGCTGGCACTCGTAGTCCACACGACGGTTTGTGCTGTGCATTGACGACGAATCCGGTTTGCTCGTGTGTGATGAGGAAAGCTTGAAAGCACTGAAAGCTTGTTTTACTTTACAGGCAGCTTTACTTGTAATGTAAATCAGAATAGGTAACATATACATATATGTTTTCATTACATTATTATTATTATTATTTTTTTTTTTTTTGAGACAGAGTCTCACTTTCTTGCCCAGGCTAGAGTGAGTGCTGTGGCGTCAGCCTAGCTCACAGCAACCTCAAACTCCTGGGCTTAAGCAATCCTCCTGCCTCAGCCTCCCGAGTTGCTGGGACTACAGGCACGAGCCACCATGCCCGGCTAATTTTTTATATATATATATATTAGTTGGCCAATTAGTTTCTTTCTATTTTTATAGTAGAGACGGGGTCTCGCTCAGGCTGGTTTTGAACTCCTGACCTTGAGCAATCCGCCTGCCTCGGCCTCCCAGAGTGCTAGGATTACAAGTGTGAGCCACCGCGCCCGGCCTCATTACATTATTTTTAAATGTTCACAATTTTATTCTGATAAATGAAAAATTAGAAAAGTCGTATCATGGCTGTCGGCTAAAGTTCACACTCCACTGTGAGCCTTCATATCACGGCTGTCGGCTAAAGTCGCTGTGCGCGTTCATCTGTGGCTGTCGACTACAGTCCACTCTGGTACCGAAGTGGTTAAAAACAAACAAACAAAAAAAACCAAGGTGATAATAATGGTGGAAATAAAACTAGTGCTCACAGAAACTACATGAGGCTTGAGTCATACATATATATATATGTAATTGTGAGTACATTATATACTCATGATGTGTCTAATTCTTTTAATAAAAATTATAGTTTGATTTTAATATTTTCATTACAAAATGATTGTACTAAAATGAACTCTTTATTTTGCTGTATTTCTATAATTTAAGGAACTTAACAATAGACTTTAGATTCACAAAACAAATTAGTTTGCACCAGTGCATTCTCCTCTCACAAACCTTCCATCTGAGGGTAGAGAAGGAGCGTGAAATGCTCAAGGGAAATCACATGCAAATACCAAGGCTTTTGTCAGTTGGCAAAGCTTAATTTTTGGAGGAAATTATTTGTGTGATCAAAGTCTGGCAATTGGCTTAAGTTTATCTCATTTTGGAAAACAGCTGTTCAACATGGGGACTCATTTTTGTTAATTTTATTCAAAGTATGCCAACTGCAAATATAGTTGTTAGGCCAAAGCCAATGCTGTGATTTGCTCTATCTCTACCTATCTATTAATATCTTTCATCTATACATCATCTATTTATGTTGATATCTATATTTCATCTATATATCATCTATATCTATCACCTATCTTTCACCTATCTTCTATCTATCTATCTATCTATCTATCTATCTATCTATCTATCTATCTATCCATCCATCCATCTATCCTCTATCTCTCTAGTCAGTTCTGTGATCAGCCTCTGGCCTCATTGACGCCTGAGTCAGATGCCCTCTGGGTGTAGGTCAGTACTGGCGCCAGCTCAGCATGGTGCCCTTGGTGGACACACAAAGATGTATGGTGAATTGTTGCTATTTGAACATACAACTGTATCCATTTGTTGCAATCTCTATATCTGTTGCTTTCTTTATAGGGCATCATGAAAAAGTGTGAAGGCGAAGAAACTTTCCTAGGTCAATTTATATATAACAAAACAGGAACCACTGTTCAAACTTTTAAACTCCAGGTAATGACAGCCCTGGGAAATGGTAAATATGAGTGGCCCCATCACTGGGAGAGATTTGTTGGGATTGCTTCATGCAAAGTGGTGTGTGAGTAATTATGGCAAAAGCGTGAGTTAGACAAGCTTATCTGAATTTCAGGTCCTAGCTCCAAGTGTTCACATGGATTTTAATGCAAAAGACAGGCAAATACAAAAGGAGTTTCTAAGTCAAATTATTCCTGATTTGCAATGAGGAAGAATGTACATTCAGTTTCTCAGTTCTTTTAACTATCTCATTCCCTGGATACTATTAAGTTTTACATCACTACCTCATCTTTCTTGGGTAAAGGAGGTGGGGATGGTGGTGCAATACAAGATGTATAGAGGCAGAGAAGAACTCAGAGGAAGAGAGAATATTTAATACCAGAGAATATTTAATACCAGATAATGTAAGTAAAACTTCTCTTCCTAACCCAATGAGGAAAAATACCAACCAGGGGTTTTAATTTATAAACCACCTGAAACTCACTAGGATATATGAAATGTATTCCCATTATTTCTATTAGCCACAGGAAGAGGTTGAAGAGATGTAGAAGGTATGTCATACAATGTAAAAACAAGTGTTTATGACACTTCTTGGCCAAATAGTGAGAAAATACAAGTCAAAAACAATATATGTATTAGAAATGAATATAATTATTGAGTGTCATATTTGATTATACATTCATATGTAGATGTATTTGGGCTCATGTATCTGTTTGTATAGTTGGCTTCACAGATTGGTTTTCAAACAAGCCCCCCTCCCCAGCTCAGCCAGCAAGGAGCACAGAGGAGGGACCGCCATGGCAGGGAGAGGTCACTTGGCCACCACATTCTCTTCCTCCTCCTCTACTTGTCCTTCCATAAGCAATTTACCCCAGTAGCTTATTTTCTCATCCATTAGATGGGCATTTGAAAATACTTGCATTAGGAAGAAAAAAAGGAGTTTTAACTTTTTATTATTATATCAGCATTCCTTGGGATTCTTTGGGATGGATTTCTTCATAAGGCATTAATTTTATCTTTTTCTTATTTTCAGCATGCAGTTTCTGAATCTTTATTATGTGTGAAACTTAAAATCCTCAGCAACTGGGGACACCCGGAGTACACATGTTTATATCGATTCAGGGTCCATGGCACCCCAAGTGTTCATATCTAGACCAGCTGTTACAGAAGGCCCTGACCACACATCCAGAATATTCAAGGACCCTTTTCCCTTGGATTACACTGCACCCATAGGAATCAAAACCAGGGATTTGGATAAAAACCTCAAAGTGATTCATACTTGCCTATAAAAAGTGGATGAATTTTAATAATAAAAAATATGGAAGTAGATTCAATATTCTTGTGGTAGTTTAGCTTTTAAGGACACATCATGTTGTTAGAGCACTGAAAGGTGATTTTGTATTTAGAAGATGGTATTATTCAACAGCCTTTCTCATAATAGCATTTTTGCCTTCATTTAGTCATTCATCTATATCAGGCTTGGATGCTCAGTATTACCACTGTTATTGAACAGGGATCTGGAGGGACTGGTCGAGGCAATTAGATAAGAGACAGATAATTTTTAAATTAAAGGTAAAAATTATCATGGAGTTCTGACCATAACTATTTGTAGATAATTTTATGAATTCCTTAGAATGCAATAAAATCTATTTTTAAAAAAATTACAAATAAAGAAAATTGTAGTTAAGTGTATACAAAATTACCACATGCAAATCAATATTATTCATAAATATAAACAACAACCAGTCAAGGGTATAATATACAAAAGCCACAACAAAGATAAAAAAACATCAAATAAAAGAAGAAAGAAAGTAAAATACCTATGTGAATAAAACTCCAAAACAGCAATGAATGATTAAAAAATGACTTCAAGAAATGGAAAGACATACCATATCCTTGGATAGGAAAACTCAACTGTCAAGATGTCAATTTTCTCTAAGTTAATTTATAAATGTAACTTGAGCTCAGTTGAAAACCCGGAAAATATTATAGTATTATGTAACAGTTATGAGATTATTAAAGAATTATTGTTAAAAAATAACATGTAGGTAGGTATCTGTGTGATAATGGTATTACAATTTTGTTTTCAAAATAATTCTTACCTTTTGATTTCTATATTTAAATATTTACAGATGAAATGATGTATCTGTGACCTTTTCCAAAATAATATAAGAGGAGGAAATGAATAAGAAGATCAATAAAAAAGATTGGCCATGAAATGGTTATTAAAGTTGGATGCTGCCAGGCTATGGGGTTCATTATATGATTCCGTCTAGATTTATATGTGTTTGATATTTTCAATTTCAGAAAGTTTTTTAGAAGATTAAAACACATATATACATTTTAAAAAAAGGGGTATGTTTTAAACTAAATTGATTCTAAAGTTGATATGGAAATATAAATTTAGTAAGAAGCCAGTCAGAAAGCCTCTGAAAAAATCAACAAAAGGAAATAGCTCTATGACATAGGTATAAAATAATAATTAAAACTGTGTGATCAGCAACTGGGGACACCCGGAGTACACATGTTTATATGGATTCAGGGTCCATGGCACCCCAAGTGTTCAGACCATGGGGTCTGTCACCCCATAGTGACAGACCAATGGAGCAGACACACAAGTCCACAAATAGATTTATATCTACATGTAAATTTGGTACATGATAGAGGTGGCATCTCCAAAGGGTAATTAGAAAAACAAAACAAATAGCTTGGGACAATTGTCTAGTTATTATGAAGATAAAATTGAATCCATGTTTCTCACTTTACAATATGATAAATTCCCAATATGGTAAAACATTTACAAGTCAGTAATAAATTCATAAAAATATTAACAAGAAAACTTGGGATAATTCTTATATGGCATTGAATAGAGGAAGATCTTTCTAAATGTGACTCAAAATTCAGAAGCCACAGAAGAGAAAAGAAATAATTTCTACTATATAAACATCAAGAACCTCTGTAGGTCCACCTAAACCTTAAACAAAATTGAAAAAATATTTGCAATTGATATATGAACCACTTTCTAATATATAAAAAGTGTCAAGAAAGCAATAATGTTATGAATAACCCAATAGAAAAATGGCCAAAGAGTATGAATAGATCATTAACAGAAACATATGAAAGATATTTCAGCTTATTTGCCTAAGAAAAAGGGAACAATTACATTGTGGTACCATTTTTGACTAATACAATTGGAAAAATCCAAAAGTTTGATAATGTTTTATTTCAAGGCTTTGAGTAAACAAGGTTTCCCACACATTGCTGGAAGAAATGCAAATAGGTACAACCTTTAGGGAGGGAACTTGGTAATGTCTATCAAAATTGGACATGTATATATCTTTTGACTGAAAAAGTTATAGAAAGCTTTCCATCAGCACTGTTTCTCAGAAGGGAAGGGAGGAAGAGAGGTGGGAATGAGGTAGGAGGAGGCCCCTCCGTATGTAAAAGTAAAGTGTTCACTGTATATTGGCTTTGGATCACATGAATATATTACCTATTCAGACCTTGAACATTTTTTTTAATAGACATGGTTTCTTGTTTTGGTCAAGGGGGAAAGGTAAATATTAAGTAAGTAAAGAGTGATAAATGTAATGAAAAGAAAAAAAAATAAGAAATAGACACATGAAACCAGAGGGCCTTAGCCAGGGCAGTAGAGAAGCGCCCTGCCAGGAAGAATCTTTGTGAGATAGTGGTCTCAGGCAACACTCTGTATCAGATTCACCCAGTCAAACCAGGGAACATCAGTGGGCTTCCTGTAGCACCAGAGAGGTGGCACCATGGAAGCCCAGTGGACCCTTGGCCAAGTGCAGCCTCATGAGGAAGCTCAGGTGAAAGCACCAGAGTGATCACCCAGCCAACATCATAATTCCTTGTTGAAGCCACATGTCTTGGGGTAGTGTCTTACATATTAATGGGTAACTGATACCCAGACTACAAGTTGCTGGCAGCCTATTGGGAGAATAAATATATAAACAGACAATGGCCAGACCATATATAAAAATGATCTGCAGATCCATGATCTGCAGCAACCTACCTAGGAAGCCAACCCATTTTCTATAGCAGCAGCCTTTTTGGCTCCAGGGACTGGTTTCATGAAAGATAATTTTTCCACAGACTGTGGTGGGGGGGGGGATGGTTTTGTGATGATTCAGCTGAATTATGTTTATTGTGCACTTAATTTCTATTATTACATTATAGTATATAATGAAATAATTATACAACTCTCCATAATGCAGAATCAGTGAGAGCCCCGAGCTCCTTTACCTGCAACTAGACAGTCCATCTGGGGATGATGGGAGACAGTGACACACAGAGTGTGTTGCTTATGTCCAGTCTACTCTGTAATCTCATTTTGGTGGTTGTCACTGCAGAAACCCTGCTTCACAAAGATAGAATACTGGAAATTAGATTCTCCTAAGGAAAAGGCAACCTGGATCTCCCGCATGCGCAGTTTACAGTAGGGCTTGTGCTCCTCTGAGAATCTAATGCCACTGCTGATCTGACAGGAGGCAGAGTTCAGGCAGTGATGTGAATGATGATGAGTGGCTATAAATACAGATGAAGCTTTGCTCACTCTCCTGCAGCTCACCTCTTGATGTGAGACCTGGTTCCTAACAGGCCATGGATTGGTACTGGTCCATGGCCAGGGGGTTGGGGACTCTAGCCTGCTGTCCATAAATCAAACTTGAAGGACATCAGACCACTCAACTGATCCAGGAAGCCAAACAACTCCTGTAATAATTGTTCCCAAATGACCAAGACTTGATTAATAACTGGCAGCTTCCCTAATTTTTGGCATCACTTCCAATTTAGGACCAATCAGAGAAGGCCAAATAAGCTCCGCTAACCGATTACGTAGCAGGCCCCCTTTCTAGTGAGCACAGCAGCTTCCCCAGGCTTACAGCTCCATCAGGGCACTCCTGGAGCCTTCCCCCCCCCCCCCCCCCCCGTGAGCTTTTTGCTCCTCAGCCTGCCTGTGAGTCTCTGCCAAAAATGCCAATTATGGTGGCTGACTCTGAATAAATAGGCTTTGCCTGTTCTCATTTGACTGTTCTTCATTGATCTCCACACTATCACTTGTTTTTCTGCAGGTCAAGTGTAAATAGAGCCGGTCCAGTCAGCAGGAGCATGTGGGTCACTGTCCACTTAGCAACCCAGTGACACGGATTCCCATAAAGAATATGGGAATTTGCCATGGCTGACATTTCTAATTCTCTCTGTTTCTCATCTTTAACATGAGATTAATAGCACTTATCTAAGGAATGTTAATGTTACCAAAGTGATTATATCACTGTACAATGCTATAAAATGAGAGCTATCTCACCTTGCTGATCGATAATATATACATCGTGCTTTTTAAGTGAAACATAGTAAACACCCAACAAATATTGGTCTCCCTTCTTCTGGGTGGGGGATGGTCCCTATCCCTTGCCACCATGCCTGACACTCTCATGTGCTCCACACATGTTAATTTAAAAAAATATCTATGGAATTTATTGAAGTATATTTTTCTTCGACATCTAAAGGATAAGAAGAGTCTTTGAAGAGCTGCTTGAACAAAAACCCATCCATTCCAATGAGTAAAATTCTCAAAAGACATTCACTCATACTCCCTCCAGAGTATGCTTTCCTTCATTTTACAGTTTTTGATGGTAAAAAGAAGACAAATGTCTTTCAGATTTGATGCAGAACCTCTGGACTATGCCAGTTTCTTTCCCCTTGGGTAATTTTTCTGACATTAACTACTAACAGCAGGGCTGCAAATAGTCACTCCTTCCTCCAGGGAATGGAGAACATGAGCAATACCTGAAAGACACTGGCCAAATGCAGTTTGGGTAACAGCTAGTAAATCTGTGATAACGACCTATGTAGAGTTTACTGTCTTTGCAGCTGTAAAGAATTTAGTTTCCTTACTTCCAACTATACATCCTGACATTTTATATACACCGATGTTATTGTATTTCAGTTTCTAAGACAAGATTAAGGCATTTCCCTCCCCAATAAACAAACATAAAGAACAGCGTCAATACTATTCCCCAGATCATTTCATGACTGAATTACTAACCCCTGAGGTTTGGCTGTTTTTAAATCAGATGGCTATTAAGTAGCTAGATGAGAACTACATCAATATGCATTGAATTAGAAATCACTTGCACAAGTTGCTTGGAGGGATCTCTAGTGATCTCATTCCTTACCTCAAAATCATTTGGAAAAAAAGTAGGGAAGTAGTGTCAATTATTTATAAATTCTGAAATTATTGAATTAATATGCTAAACCTAGCATAAATTTATTTATGAATTGCAAGAGCACATAAAATTTGTGTTATCAAATTTTATGACATAAAATTAAGCAATTTACAGTAAAGATCAATTTGTTATGAGACACTGTTTACAAAGTATATTTAGATACATTCTTTAATTATATTCATGACCTACATAGCAACCACCTTATTTAATAATTGGTGCTCAATTCTTCAAACTTCTTTATGAAGTAGCGAAAAAGCATGTTTTGTTGACATAAATTTGAAAGTAATGTACCACATTTGGTTTGGCAAACACTAATATATAACAGTGTAGACTAGAATTTAGCTTCATGTTATAGTCTTAAAATAGGCAAAAACTGTTTGCAGTTTTTGTATTTTGCACTTTGAAAATAATCTGCATTATCATTAATATCTTGATTCTATATATCAAGTTAAAGACAGGTTTCAGGCTCATTAAAAATAACAATTTTAACATAATTTTAGCCTTTGAAAAACAATTGTATTAGATACAATTGCTGTTCTATTTCCCCCTTTAAAATTTCTTTTTTAAAATTCTAAAGATATTATTTATGCTGATAAGAATTTTATTAGATCACGTGAAGTCCATTTTGAGATAAAGATGCAGAATTACCACTTAGTGTCAGTGTTCTTTAAGCATCCCGTCTTTACCAGCTAGCAAATGTTCAAATTTAAAAAACATCTAAAACAATCTAAAACGTTAAACAAGATGCTACGCCGTCAAGGTAACGGTACTCCCTTTTGAGATTGAAGGGGGTTTAAAGCTGCTCTTAGAGGTATATTTAAGAGATAATTTTGTTTAATCCTTTATAAACAATTGGTTTCATCTGGATGTTTTAAAACAGAACTTGAAATGGGTGTCACAAAGTTCTTTCAAAATAAGAATTCTCAGAACCACGTCCTCACACTCAGGAGTTGAAGACTCCAAGCCCCTAACTAGAGGGACGCCACTTCCCCCGGGCGTGACCAGGAAACCCATCATCCTCTGGGGCGTGGCCCGACGGACCCTCCTTCCCCCAGGGCGTGACCTGGTTGACCCCTGGTAAAAGCTGCTGACTCGGAGCGGGGCGGAACTACTGTGCGCGCTGCCGCGTTTCCGGGCGGGGACACTCTGGGCGGGACACTGCGCCGCCGACCGAAGCCGCCGTGCGGGGCCAGAGGGCGGCCATGAAGTTTAGGGCCAAGATCGTGGACGCGGCCTGTCTGAACCATTTTACGCGTGAGCGAGGAGGCGGGAGGGGAGCGAGGGAGGAGGGGAAGGAGGCAGAGCACGCACCGCTGTGGCCCCGCGGGAGGACGAGGACGGGTACCGGGTGCAAGTGGGGGCCGCGGGGCAGGGTGGGTGGGGCTGGGGCCCGAGGGTACTTGTGAGGATGAGCGTGGGTTCTGCTTCCGTGGGATGTTTCTGAAACTTCATTCAGATCGCGTGGCTTTTTTTTTTTTTTTTAAACCGGCCACTGCATTATCTGGCATTGACATTCCTTCAGTTAGGCCCCATTGGTTTTCCCGTCCTGACTGTGCCCAACCCTACCTTCAGCTCTGTGCTGCACTATCCAATAGTTAATACGTTTGTGTAGAATGAATAAAATGGCTGGTAGGTGTCTGTTTCCTTATTTGAACACTGGTGGTGTGTGCTGTACACCTCCCAGGGTCGTTGGAAATTGGCATGGCATCAGTGGTATTAAAAGTACTTTCCAGTGTGATACCAACATAATAAGCTATTTTTCCATCCAGAAGTTGCACCATGATGAACTAGAAGTTCTGCAAGATAATTTGGCCTCTAGGATACATGATGTGCATTTTAGTAATTTCTTATTTTAACCTCCGCTTTAGGAGTCAGTAACATGATAGCAAAACTTGCTAAAACCTGCACCCTCCGCATCAGCCCCGATAAGCTGAACTTCATCCTTTCAGACAAGCTGGCCAATGGAGGGGTGAGCATGTGGTGTGAGCTGGAACAGGTGAGCAGAAGCTCCTAAGAGGCCTGCACACTCCACTGAATTCACTGGAATGGCCACAAATGCCCTCCTCCACCCCTTCCCTTTATTTTCTTCCCTTAGGAGAACTTCTTCAGCGAATTTCAAATGGAGGGTGTCTCCGCAGAAAACAATGAGATTTATTTAGAGCTAACATCGGAAAACTTATCTAGAGCCTTGAAAACTGCCCAGAATGCCAGAGCCTTGAAAATTAAGCTGACTAATAAACACTTTCCCTGCCTCACAGTATCTGTAGAGCTGGTGAGTAGGAGGGACAGGGTTTCTGAAATTTTCCACAAGGGTCTGGGCCTTGAAGGATTAGAAGTAGTTATTAGTTTAGGCTTTTTAACAATACTGTTAAAAACCATTTGATTTTATTTGAAATTAAAGATCTGGCTTTTTCCCCCTCCCCCCATTAGAGAATGTTGCCTTTTCCAATCAATAAAACTTCCAGCATCTCTTTCTTTTAGTGGTATTGTCATCTAGTCTTGAAATCATGGTTTCTTTCCATTTTCCCCTTTGATGCCCTCTATCTGCTATAATACCTTTAAATGACCACTTATTCTTCAGTAACACATCTGTCATACATGCTGCTGCCAGATGAATTTAGGGCACAGCTGTCCTCCAAATACACAGACACACACACTCCTCAGAGTGGCTTTCACTACTCATAGAATAAAGTTGACATTTCTTAACATGACCAAAGTCCTTCACAAATGGCCTAACCCAAGTTGCAAACTTTTGCCCTCTGAGTGGTTCCCTGGATGTGTCCCATTCTTTCCCAACTGTCAGGCTTTCGTGACATTGGGGCTTCCACTTGCAGTCTCTCTCCTTCTCACTCTCTGAAACCTTATCTTCCTTTAGTGCTCACTACTGATGCTGCCCCCACCCTGGCCTTCCATTATCCTTACAGCTCTCCTTCCTTATATGTTATATGTACTGTATCCATCAATGAGTGAGTATTATATTCAGTTTCAAGCTCTTTATGGAAGAGGACCCCTCAACTTTTCTTCATAACTTTTTCTCAACTCTTTGCAGTCAGGCAGTTATGTCACGATATAAGTTTGGTATGTTTCTTCAGTTGTTTAAAGAAAAGCAAGATAGTAACATATTATACTTTTCTGCCTAAAGGTACAACATACTTTGGTCTATGAGTCTCATAGAAGCTCCTAGAAATAGATAAATATGGTTTATCTTGTTAGCTGTGTAGAAACTGCTGCATGCTGAGTGTCCCGTGTGCAAAGAATGGTCTTCTCTTGGTTGCTTCAACAAAGCAAGCTTGCTGCTTTCTGCCTCATTGCTTTACGTATGCTGTTTCCCCTGCCTAAAACACTGTCCCCTTGACCCAGTCTTCCATGGCTGCTGTTTCTCCTTGTTTTTGTGGCATCTGAAATATCACCTTAGAGAGGCCACCCCTTGATTTTCCAGTCTAAAGAATGTTCCCCCCACTCACCCTGGTAACTCTGTTGTGCTTTCCAAAGGCTCTAATGAGTATCTCATGGGATTTCATTTGTTCGTTTTTGTATTGATCCACTTATTCCACTGAAACATTGGGTACCTTTTTGTCTTATTCTCCCTCTTCCCAGCTCTCCTCAGAGCTCTTCCCAGAGTGGAACAGGCACGTCATCAATGTTGGTTAAATGGATTTTGAGTGAATGAATTGAGAACATTCCACTTAGATTTGGTATTTCAACTTTTTTGTCCTCTTTGGATTTTTTTGTTGTTTAATATTGATGACATAAAAATATGTTTTAATTCTTTTCTTGGCAGTTATCTGTGTCAAGCAGTAGCCGCATTGTGACACATGACATCCCCATAAAAGTTATTCCTAGAAAATTGTGGAAGGACTTGCAAGAACCTGTGGTCCCTCACCCTGATGTAAGTGATGCCCTGTTGCTTGTCACACATTAAATGTTGTGATTTGAATTCTCTAATTTTAGTTGTAGTCTTACGGTATATTTGATTTGAAAGTTGTGTAGTGCTTGAAAAGAAAGTTGGTATTCATTTTTAAAGGATATTCAAGGAAAAAGTTGGAATGTTTGCCTTTTGTTATTTATGTAAAAGATCTTAAAATGTGTTGCATATGATAAAAATGTCATACTCTTTACATATAGGAGAATGTCTTCTTGCTCAATAACACCACTTAAACAAAACTGAAATAATAATTTGGAAGACAGTTAGTATTTATTAATATTGTTTGGCCTTAGGCACCAATTTGGATTTAACAGGACTTGGTCTTTTCCTAGGCCTGTCAGGAGTGCTGTCCGGGTATGTATAAGAAACCCAAGAAGAGAGGACTCTCATGACTTAGATTTGGGTTAACAGTCCTGCTGATAGGAACCCTAGAGTCACTGAAAATAAAGGTGATGCCAAAAGATCCTTTGCCTCCTGCTCACAATTTATTTAAGAAGAAATTACAAGAATATACTGGGTAAAATATTTATTTAACTTTTACCAGAAGATATCTACACTGATTTGGAAACAGATAGCATTTTATAAAGCAGTATGTGTGGCAGGGTCTCATCTGTGATGCAGTTGACTGCTTGCTGTGTTTTTGCACAGAGCCTGGTGTAAACATCCCTTAGAGGAAGGTGTCCTGCTGAGTGCCTGAGTTTTATTCCCTGTGGACTTATGTACAGGCTTCTCAGCTGAAGTGCTATAATCCATCTTGAACCAGAAGAATGTCCTCAGGGACGTGGTTGCTGAGGTAACCAGAGGCAGGCATTCTATTCTTTCATTTGCTTGAACATCCACAAGTTAGTGAAATTATAAAATTGGTTTTCTTTTTACATTTTTAAATAACTTTATTCAGAAAATTTAAAAACAGGATTCCAGAGTTTTCGAGCATACATGCCTTCCAAAATTAGTTATGGAGCACCTGTCATTACTAGAGTATATTCATATTATTAATATTTGTGATTTTTCTTATTGCTTTTGTAGGTTAGTATTTATTTGCCAGTCTTGAAGACTATGAAGAGTGTTGTGGAAAAAATGAGAAACATCAGCAATCACCTTGTAAGTTGTAACTTCTTTAGAAAAGAACTCTGAAGTAGCCTGCATGGGCTGCTCGTCCTGGGGGCAGCTTCACCAGGGCCCAAGGCATGGGTGCTCTGGTGCTCTCCATGGCGTCCCAGCAGGCAGGCAGGCAGGCACCTCCTCGCTGAGCTTCGACTCATGAGGACCCGGCCTGGTGTTGGAATCTGCAGATTGACAGTTGCCTTTAGAAACATATCTGGTGCTTTTCAACTCTCATTCACTGAGGAAAGCTTTTATATTTGCCCTTAATTCCTCATGTTTATAGTATATTAAGAATATGGTCAACAGTTCTGCCTTTTTTCCTTATATTTTGGATGGAATATTACATCTTTTACTTGATAATGTGTGTATATTTTTTACGGAATCACTGATATGACCGGCAGTGAGTTGGGAGCGTCCTATCCACTTGCCAGGTGTCTTTCAGTGAGCCAAGGCCAAAGACCCACCACACCATTGGCGCCTTTATTCCAAGCAGCTGTCACACCAAGCTGGAGGGCCCTTTGTATATTTCGGTTTATTTTCTGTTTATTTTGTAAATGTTTCCTACTGTCACTTGTCGCAAAATGCTGCAGCATGTGACAGTGTTGAGGAATTGTGTGGATTATCCTCATTCACACCTGGGTTTATCCTGAGTTCTTCCTTCACCTACCACCAGAAAAATACATTTGATTGTGTCCCTGAATCTTTTAAAAACTGCCATCTGCCTGATGAAGCATAAACTCTTGAATATTGCAATCTGCCAGGCCACTTCTGTAGTCCCATCTCTGTTTTACTGCCACACCCACCCTGCACAACCAGGTGGGGCGCTGGCATTCCCTTGCAGTGCTGCTGCTTCTCCCATTCTGTTTCACGTGGGGTTTCTTCTCTCCATCTCCCCAGAAGGCATCTAGCCATTCTCATGGTTCATGGTAGACCTTCCCCCACCGCCTTGGCTGGAAGCCCCTGTTCTGAGCTGCTCTGTCCGCAGTGTACATGGTAGCATCTCATAATGCCTCCTGAACTGCCAGCTCCTTGAAAAGGGAAACCTGTCTCAATCATCTTTGCATCCCAGCCACTCAGCATTGGATTGTCATTCACTAGGCAATAATAAGTAGTGTTGTATGGATCTGGAATGAACTTTAGCTCCAAGGGATCTTTGAAATCACAAAAGTTTTTTGAAGCCTAGAAAATGTTCATGAGCAGTTTTTTCTCCTGTTCACTTAAAAACAGTACACCATTGGGCCTGCCTGCTTAAAGCTTTTCATTTATAACCTAACTTTTATGAAGTTCATTTTAATTTAAAACCTGCTTCCCATAAAGCAGTGTCACTGTGCTGACATTGGTGTCCCCTGTGACTACCGTGATGTTGATCCAGTTGTCAGGCTGGCTTCCTCTAGGATACCCTGGGGACTTCCAGGGAGATTCAGAGAGGCCCGGGAGAGAAAAGGCAGGGCAATTAATTGAAGAATCCATTTGTTTGTTCTTTCTGTTCAATAGAAATGAGTCAGCAGAGTAGAGAGGTGGAAGGGTAGCTTTGATAAAATCAAGAGGTGTTTTGTTTTTCCTGGAGTGTTTAAAAAACATAGAAGTTTTGTGGAGTGGCTGCTGCAATCTGAAATTACTGAATGGAAAGTATCAAGTTAGAGTAGCCAAGTGTATAGTGAAGTCTACTTGGGTAACTAGAATTCTGTGTTGGAATATTATAGGTAATAGAATTAAGGAAAATTAGTGGGATTTAACATACTACAAATGTCCACCTTATCATCAGAGATGCTCAACTCCTCCCTTCCTTCATTTCATGGGAAATACGATGGATGGGGTATGTTGTCTATGTGATTCATGAAGAGTGGAAAAAGGAAGAAGGACGACTAACTACCTAGAATCTATATCATGTCCTGAGACATTGCTTCTAAGCTCTGCTGTGCTTATGAATCCCCTAGGATCTGACAGGAGAGGTCCGGGCTGGGGCCCAAGGCTTTGTGTTTCTGACCAGCTCGCAGTGGGTACTGATGCTGCCGATTCGGACCACATTGAGTAGCAGCTCTTTGTGATATAGCTCTTACTCTATTGTACTTGAAATGTTATCTGAGTAATGGAGCTTTGTGGGATCGGCCCTAACTATTAAACCAGGAAAGGAGTCCCAGGGCAGGAGAGCAGGAGTAGAAGAGAGGAGCCAGATGGAGGAGAAGTGAGATGAGAGAGGCAGAGGCCTAGTAGCTGGGTCATGTGAAGTAGGGTGTCGTGATGTAAAAGGGGCATTAGAGCTACATATCTGGGTTCAGCTCCCAGCTGTACCACTCAGTGTGCACCCTAGTGCTGGGTATTACCCCCAGTAAGGATCATAGTGCACTTATCACAGGCTTTTTGCCACTTTTTGTAAATTTAAAGGCTTTTTTTTTTTTTTTTTTTTCTGAGACAGGGTCTCATTCTGTAGCCTGTATTAGAGTGCAGTGGCATCATCATAGCTCAAATTCCTGGGCTTAAATGATCCTTCTGCCTCAGCCTCCTGAGTAGTGGGACTACAGGCATGCCTAATTTTCTTATTTTTTTTGTGGAGACGGGTCTTGCTATGTTGCTGGGGCTGGTCTTAAACTGCTATTTCAAGCAATCCTCCTGCCTTGGCCTCCCAAAGTGCTGGGATCACTGGTGGTGTGAGCCACTGCACCCAGTCTAGAGATGATAATTTATAGTAGGTGCCCAGCATAATTCGTTGGCATTCAACAAACCATAGGTAACTATTATTAAGGAAATCATCAAAAAAAGTAAGATCTCATCCTGATACTTAAGAAATCAACTGTGTTGGTGTGCTTAATATTTCAGATAACTGAATCATAAAATAAACACAGATGACCAATGTTCAGAGAATTGATTGTGTGTTAATTCCTTCGATCATTGTTGATTGAACATTGTTATGTGTCAGACACTGAGTGTGGTCAGGAGAGAGTTGGAATCAAATGTTCTATGACACAGATTTTAGGAATTTAAAGAAAGCATAAGAGAGCATTTAAGCCTGAAGTGACTAAGACTATTGCAAGTTGCTTTCTTGAATAAGTATTTATTTGTGTCTAAAGTCATTGTTTTTCACAAACAGTGGGAATTTATGGATCTTAGGTATGATTGTTGGAAACAAACGAGCATACATCATATATTAGCTTTGCAGAGCCCCAGTAAGCAGTGCATAATATTCACAAGGATTGTTATATATATTTTATTTTAGTCAAGTATTTTTCCAGATTATAAGAGAGTGGGTTAAGAAATACAACACTATATTTTGGGGTTAACAAAAAGATTGAAAATGAGTATTTTTCATTCAAAGTAAGTTTATTAGATTATGTAACAAGTAAGTTTAGGGGGCTATTTTTTTATTTAATGTCAAAAGCTCAGGAATAAGAGCTCACTCAAGTTAAAAAAACTTTCGGTCCGGGTGCGGTTGCTCACGCCTGTAATCCTAGCTCTCTGGGAGGCCGAGGCGGGCGGATTGCTCAAGGTCAGGAGTTTAAAACCAGCCTGAGCAAGAGCGAGACCCCACCTCTACTATAAATAGAAAGAAATTAATTGGCCAACTGATACATATATATAAAAAATTAGCCAGGCATGGTGGCACATGCCTGTAGTCCCAGCTACTCGGGAGGCTGAGGCAGAAGGATCACTCGAGCCCAGGAGTTTGAGGTTGCTGTGAGCTAGGCTGACACCACGGCACTCACTCTAGCCTGGACAACAAAGCGAGACTCTGTCTCAAAAAAAAACAAAAAAAAAAACAAAAAAAAACTTTCGTTTTGTTTTTGGAATGAGAAATATTCAGAGTTCTCCAATTTTAAGGAGTAGGAGTAGGAGCACACTAAGTTGTATTCACTAACATGGACAGTAAAGCAGAGGTATGCAGACTGGGCACCCTCTCCTTTCCTCTCACTGCAGCACTTTGAGGATGGCCCCTGCAAAGTAAGACCACTGCACTTACCTTTCCAGTTGCCAGGTGGCACTCTTGTATTGCTGGTTGGGCAGAATGCTGACTAGCAAACCTTCATGGGCTTTTCAAAGACCTGTTGGGCTTTAACAGTGGGCAGGTACCAACATCAAAAAGAGAAATACTGTGTTCTGTGGGCAGGTTAGTAAAATCTCAAACCATTGTGGCATATGTTCTAAGTTGTGTCCAGTTAGACGAACTGATTGGTTGTTGTTGGGGGAGGGAGGAGCTTGAAAGGAAAGGAGCCCCTTGTGCTCCCAGGGTGGGAAAAGCAGGAGTAGGAGAGGGGAGAAGAAATGAGGTGAGGCAGATGCCTGGTAGCCCAGGCATGTGGAGTAGGGCATAGCCAGCCTCAGGCCTGGTAACCTACAGCAGCCCCAGACCTTTCTGAATTTAGAAATCTCATTTTTCAACATCTGAGTTTATTTTTAAATGTTGGTTATGTTCTCATAAAATTCTAAAGGCTTTATGGTCATACTAAATGTACAGTCGTGACAGATGATTTGGCCTGTGTATACAAATAAGGTACTAATTTCCACATTCTCTTCCCATTTTGCCCTCTCTTGTTTTGTAATAATTTCATCATGTCTACATTGTCAGACATAAAATTATTACATATTATTCTGTCCCCTTCACTTCCAGTGTTTAGTTTTGGCTCTATGGGTAAAAATATTGCTCACATCTTTTATGCTGTAATTTCTCTAATTATTTTTTGTTATCTGAAGCTTATTCTCTAGCATATCACTCAGGAAGGACTTACAGGAATAGAGTTTCCTTAGTTTTCACATGTTCATAATGTCAGTTTGGCTCATTGTACCGCATTGTCTTCTGGTATATAATGTTACTGTCAGAAAGAATGATTTCATTCTAATTTTGTTTCATAGTTTGGATTTATTAATTTGAGGGGAAAACTGAATACCCTGAGGATTTTATTTTCGTTTTCTTGAAGTCCAGTTGTCTTGACCATCCCTGGTGGGTTTTCTCTGGTGTGTGGTGTGTTGTTTCAGGATGTGGGCCCAAGTATTGCTTCTGTTCAGGAAGGTTTTGAGCTGTGGCTGTTTGCATTTCTTTTTTTTCAGTGCTTTGGTTTTCTTCTTCTGGGGCTTGTACTGAACTTGGATCTTCTTCACCATCTTCTCTATTATTTTCTTTCAGATCCTTCTTATCTCTTTGTTTCTGTTTGATAATTTTTATTTTTCACATTTCCTTCTCAGTTTCTCTTACTGTGTTCTCTGTGGTATCTATTTGCTCTTGTCTTCTTCCTTTTAGTTTAGATTCCATTTCTGAAGTTTTTCATTATGTTTTTAATTATTTCCTGAGCTCTGCCATCTCTGTTTTTGTGTGTGCATGCTGTCTGGTCTCAATTCTGAGCTCCCTTAATTCTGATTCATGCTGTTATTTAGTAGCTTATATTATTGCTAATTTCTTTGAGTTCATTTTCAAATAATAGGTCTCCCTCTGCATTTGCTTTGGGGAATTCCTGTAGGCTTCTAAGTATGCTGTTGAGCACTGTTGCTTCTGTTTTTCTTTTTTCAGAATATGTTTGTATGGCTTTCAACCACAATCCTGTTGTTGTTGTTGTTACAGATGGTTGTTCTGGTTCTTTTAGGGGGATGTTTCATCACCATTGTAGAAGTGGACCAGGATAATTTTCTAACTTCATAACTCTAGGGTTCTCTATTCTTTGTAACCATAAAATAGTAAAATGTATAGCTTAAAATGTATAGTAAAATGTAGCCACCTTCCCAGGACTTTCTGAGATCTGTCCCCTTTTCTAAGACTGTATAAAATACTCAATTTGTAGGTTATTGAAGCAAACCTAAATGGAGACTTGAACTTGAAAATAGAAACTGAATTAGTGTGTGTTACAACTCATTTTAAAGATCTTGGAAATCCTCCATTAGGTAAGTTTTTTGGTAGGTTATATTTTGGTTTTGATAAATTGTTTGATATAATATACCTATTGAGGTCTCTTAATGTATAAAGGTTGAACTTTGGTTGAGTTGTTTCACTCTTGGAAAGAGAACAAAGAAATTGAGATTGGACTACCTGTCCCTGCAGCATAGTGGGGCCGTTACCATGGGAGTGAGGGGCTGTGCCACCAAGCAGCTCAGGGATTTGTGCAGGGTCACCTTCCCCTCTGAACTCAGGTCATGCTAAATAACCTCCAAGATCCCTTCCAGCTCTTCAACTCCCATTCTACTCCTAAAGATTGCAGTTTCTCGCCTAGAATGGAGTCAGAAAGGTAGATATATTTCTTCTTATTTTCTCCTCCTCTAGTCACTTCAATACTTACAGAATTAGACTAGTAGATAAAAAACTGTTCTCACTTTGTCACATTTTTCATATTATACGATGTAATAGGGGACAATGGAGTCAGTTCATTAAGCAGTGAAAGGGGGGCGACTGGACAGTTTGCTGAATCAAGCGAGGAGGGAATTAGAATTGTGACCTGGAGCTTGCAGTGGGTGGCAGTGCCGTTGTGGGGGTACTGCTGCGTGTGCAGGGGAGCAGGCAGGGGACTGGGAAAAGGTACCTGTTGACAATGTGAAAATCATTTTATGATGCACATGTTCCAAAACAAATAAAATAGGGCCTTGGCCACTTTTAGAATTAAGATTTATTTAGCTGGGTGTGATGGCATGCACCTGTAATCCCATATACCCAGGAGGCTGAGGCAGGAGAATGCTTGGGCCCAGGAATTTGAGGTTGCTGTGAGCTATGATGACACCATGGCAGGTGATGTCCCAGGTGATGGCAGAGCAAGACTCTGTCTCAAAAAAAAAAAAAAGATTTATTACTACAAGCTTGCATGAATATAAACATAGATTTTTGCATAGTGTTCCAAAGGATTTTCACTTTCTAGTGATGGGCATGCTATACGAGCAGAGTGAAATCCATATGGTTAAGGCTTTGGTAATATTGTGTGAAATGACTTATTTTGGTGTCACTCATTTTGTTTCCACACACAAGATGAGACTTATCTTGGGTACTTCCTCAGAAGTTGAAAGAATATTTTCTTTTTTTCTATTACACTTTAGAATAATAAGCCTTCTATTAGTTTTATATACATATACATCTCTGCCCTTAAATACATAGTGAGTACCAATAAATACGATTTTCTTTGACCTAAAGGGGGAGATTGAGTTATACTTTCAATCCCTGTAAATGAAGATCCCTGGAAATTATTGTATTTTAAATAGTTAGGACCTAATAAATGTATGCATTATGAATGATGACACTTACAAGTTGCAGTATTTCTCCCTGATTCTAAATCAGTGGTAAGGTGAATTATTTGTTTAAGTAAAATGCATTACACATCTCTGCGTTTCCTGTTCCATCCAAAGATACTGTATTTAAAAAGATTCGTGTCATTTTAGCCTCTGAAAACGCCTCTCAAGACAGAAACCCAGAACAAATGGCTGAAGTGCACTTAGATATCAGGAAGCTCCTACAGTTTCTTGTTGGACAACAAGTAAACCCTACGAAGGCTTTATGCAGTGAGTTTCCTTCTCTGTTTTTTCTTATTTTAAATACTTTAGTCAGCCGGGCGAGGTGGCTCACGCCTGTAATCCTAGCTCTCTGGGAGGCCAAGGCGGGTGGATTGCTTGAGGTCAGGAGTCCGAAACCAGCCTGAGCAAGAGCGAGACCCCGTCTCTACTATAAATAGAAAGAAATTAATTGGCCAACTAATATATATACAAAAAATTAGCCAGGCATGGTGGTGAATGCCTGTAGTCCCAGCTACTTGGGAGTCTGAGGCAGGAGGATTGCTTGAGCCAGGAGTTTGAGGTTGCTGTGAGCTAGGCTGACGCCAGGGCACTCACTCTAGCCTGGCAACAAAGCGAGACTCTGTCTCAAAAAAAAAAAAAAAAAAAAAAACTTTAGTCAATTCTAGTCTAACAGATTGCGTGTATTCGCATAAATGCCACAAAAACCTCAGTTTTATATGGATTCTAGCTTTTTAGGAGAGTTGGGTTTTCTGAATTTGCCCAGCGGTGGCAGCAGACAGATAACCCCTGGGACTCCATTAGCTCCTGAAAACCTGTAGCCACGCTGGCTTGGCAGGTGGGTTATGGGCTGCCTCCCTGGGCCATCATGCCTGGAGAGGTGACGTCAGGAAAATGGGTATGGATCATCCTTTGTTCTCCATGTTCATCTAATTTTATGTCCTTAGAGTCCCAGACATAGTTTTGCTTGAATTTAAGTTTTGCTCTTGCTGTCTTATTTCCTTTCTGTGTCTACCCCAACCTGTTCTCACTGCCCTGTATCTCCCTTTGGGCTGCTGATTGTTGACAGTTGCCTCTTGCTCCTGTCTTGGCTCTGTCTTTTAAGGTTACACACCTGCTCTGGCCCTCTTCATCCACTGACTACACATGAGAAAGGCATTACTTGCCAAGAGCTTTTAAAGGCTTTTTTTCTGTCCTTGCTACTAAATTCACAGCAACCTAAAAGAAACTGTGGCCTGGATTTGAAGTTCCACCTTTTGTGGAATAGCTCCCAGGCTGAGCTTTCAGGCACAAGTGATCAGAGATGAGAAGGATGATGGCCCAGGACTATACTTCGTGACTTTTGAAATCTTCAGCATGCTGTAGAGAAGGAACAGAAAATTCTAGGTGGCTATGTCAATGACCTGCCATTTTAGAGGAGAGACACAAAGAGAAATAGAGGAGACCAGAGAGGAGAGACCATGTCAGGAGTGCTGGGTATTAGGGAATTAGGGAAGGCAAAAGATGGAGTGATGGGCACAGAAGGAGATTTTGCCAGAGGAGCAGCAGCTGGGGGTGGAGAAGGAAAGGCTAGAAAATAGTGTGGATCTTGGGAGAATCCTGGGGTGAGGTACTGGTGTCTGCCTGTGCTGCATTTTGAGAAACTTTGCCATGAACAGTGTCATGCTTCTAGGGCTGAGCATGGTGAGAGCTACACTGCAGTGCACGGTTCATAAAAGTGGAAGACGGCACTTTTCAAAACTTGGCAGGTGTGGAGATCACCTGGGTGTCCTGTAAAGGAGACTTGTTTATAGTTCTGGGTCAGGCCTTGTAGCTGCATTTCTAACAAGCTCCCGGATGATGCCTGGTCCTGACAAGCATGGGGTGAGTGCTGAGAGTGTGAAACACCCTTTCTCTCTGCAGAGTGTAGAAACTCAGGGCGTGGGGGGCCTTGAGCTGCCCCTCATCAAGCCCTTGAACTTGGTATTTTTGAGGTAATCTGAATAATCACCCAAGGCTGATGAAGAATATGGAAGAGTTCTTATCCACAAAGGCAGCTGACTGGGCCATGTACTCTCTGAACGTTATTTTGCTGTACTTGAGTGTAGCAAAGAAAGGTGGACCAGCAAATAGTGATGTAGCAAAAACTGAAAAAAAAAAAATATCGCATGTTGAACTTCTCATATCTTTTCCTTATCACTCCCAAACATCTGTCTGTGTTAGCCTCTTCCAGTCTTGGCTCAGCTGTCCTCTCTAGGATAGGTCTCTGACACCCACAGTTTCCACTGCTGCCCCCTCCCCCCTCCCGTGCCTTTGCACCACCTCTCCTGAATAGCACGTGTCTTCCTGCTTGTCCTTTATGGTCCCTTTCCCAACCTCCAATTCTCCTGGGATTGGTCTCTCTGCAGCCTGTTGGCCTGTGGTTTCTCATTGCTCAGTCACATTTCCTGGAGACCTGTCCTCCTCGGCTGCTGGGCGTGGCAGCTCCTGCTCCTCTCCGTGCTCTCAGTGCTCTCACCCTGTGCTGCTCCCCCACTCTCACATGCACTGTACTTTCCTGCTTGGTCTTGTGCCTGATGCCTTGGACTTTACCCGTCACCCAGTATAGTGCCCGGCTGTGGCCTTCATGGGGTTTGCAGGACTGTTGGAACGCAGGCTCCCCCTCTGCACTCTAGATTGTGATGCAGGCGGTACTAGGTGTTGGGGGATCATGGGGCTTAGGTCTTCTCAGCACAGTTCCACCACTTAGTGGTGGGAAGCTGCCTTTCCCCAAAGGACACTGATTTGGATAAATGTGGTTTGCCAGGAAGCTAGCCTGCCAAGTGTTTCACCAAAGGCCTGGGCTCCTTTACTCTTCCTCTCGTCAGCACTGGGAAGCCACCTTCGCTAGAGCCTCTGTAGCTGCCTCAGAGAAAACAGACACCTAAAACAGGAGGCACAAGTAGAAAAGCTGTTCTGAAGAGTGGGGGTAAAAATGTGTATACTGCACCAGGTCTTTAAAATAATGAGCTTTTTCTCTCCCCAGATATTGTGAGTAACAAGATGGTGCATTTTGATCTGCTTCATGAAGATGTCTCCCTTCAGTATTTCATCCCAGCACTATCCTAGCACCCCCTTGCAAGATTGGGGTGCACAGAGACTGTCCTAATGGGGAGAGGCCATAGGTGATGTGTCTGACTGATTTGTCTGTCTTCAGAGCACCACAAATCGACGCACTGTACTTATTTCTTCCTCTAAAATATTTTAACTAAAAATTGAATTAATGAACAGCAGTTGGATAAACATATTATTTCATGTTACTCGTGATTGTTCTGTTTTTAAGACATTGAAAAGAAAAGCTAGAATGTATTTATTCAGACTTTCAATAACAGTTTCTCATTTAAGTTGTAAAAATTCTTCATGTATTTAGAGTTGGTATAGTAGCCAGAACTCACAAGTGTCCTGTGGAGCTCGGTGCTTCCCGCCCCACCCCCACCCATCCCAGCAGTCTCAGACGGTGTGTAGTGCACAGTTGGTGGCTCTTGCATTCAGCATCCTCGCCTCCCTTTACTCCTGTCCCTTGGAGTCCAGTGACAGAAAAGATGGCCCCTTGTCACCTCACCATCCACCTTGGTTACTCAGAGCATTGTGGGGTGTCACAGCTGTAGCATTTGGAGCCTTTTTCTGACTTGTTGAAGACTCAAGTCCACTTGATGCCTGGAGAGCTGGACCAGCCAACAGTTCCCCTCTGGTAGCCCTCCTGCTCCACTCAGTTTCTCCCTGGGGCCAGTTTTGGTCTTAGGCTATAATTCTGTATATTTCTTTCTTTCTCTGTGCATTGAATCTGTCATTCTGGAGAGAATACCTTTCTATTTAGAATAGAAGCAAATGAAGTTTCTAAGTAGCATCTGTGTTAAGTGATGAGACCATATTTCTGTTTATATATCAAAGGTGGTTTAGTACTGATGGATGTGCTTTCTCATTCTCTATGAAGTTTATTCCATCATATCTCCTATTACAATCACATCTCCTTTGCCCTGTGGAGGTGCACATCATAAACGTTATCTTATGTCACATTACAAAGTCGAGACCTAAGTTGTTTAGGATAAGACGAAGAAATGGAAAACCAGAAAAAAATGAAAATTTCCTTTTCAGCTTTTTCACATTATTTGGTAAAACCAATGTATTTGAATGACTCTCATGATGTTTAATAATGTTAGTTTAAGTAGAATGGAATATTTTGTTAAACCAACATTTTAAATGTAAAACATACTTTTGTAATTTTTAAAGTCTCTCTTCCCTCTTTGACTTGTAACAAAATTCTGGCTACAGTGATAAAAGTTAAATATCATGATGCAAAATGAAATGATACCTGAAAAGAGTTTCATAAAACTTGTATTTCTGTTAAAATATGTTTAGTGACTTAACCATTCACTCTGTGTTTATTATCAAATATACCTGATTTTGATGATTTTTTTGGATGGCTCAAGATTTTCTGTATGTGGAGTGTGGCTAAAGAAACCTTAGTTGTGATTCAAGAAGCTGGGGTTTGTTTCGATTTTTTTTCCTTTTCTTTTTTTTTTTTGAGACAGACTCTCGCTTTGTTGCTCAGGCTAGAGTGCCGTGACGTCAGCCTAGCTCACAGCAACCTCAAACTCCTGGGCTCAAGCAATCCTACTGCCTCAGCCTCCCGAGTGACTGGGACTACAGGCATGCACCACCATGTCCGGCTAATATTTTCTATATATATTAGTTGGCCAATTAATTTCTTCTATTTATAGTAGAGACGGGGTCTCACTCTTGCTCAGGCTGGTTTCGAACTCCTGACCTCAAGCAATCCACCCACCTCGGCCTCCCAGAGAGCTAGGATTACAGGCGCCCAGCCTACAGCTTTGTTCTTTTTGCTCAAGATTGCTTTGACTATTCAGGGTCTTTTGTAGTTTCTTATGAATATTAGAATTGGTTCTTCTATTACTATGAAGAATTCCATTGGTATTTTGATAAGGATTGCATTGAATCTGTAGATGACTTTGGGTAGTATGGACATTTAAAAAATATTAATTCTTTCAACCCATGAACATGGGATATCTTTCCATTTATTCATGTCATCTTCAGTTTCTTTCACCAGGGTTTTATAGTTTTCATTGTAGAGATCTTTTACCTCCTTCAGTAAATTTATTTCTAGGTATTTAAAAAAAATTTTGTAGCTGTTGTAAATGGGATTTTCTTAATTTCTTTTTCAGATAGTTCACTATTTACATTTAGAAATGCTACTAGTTTTTCTATATTGATTTTTGCATCCTGCAACTTTATAAAATTAGTTTATCAGTTTTCATAGTCTTTTGGTAGAGTCTTTAGGATTTTCTCTATTTGAGATCGTGTTGTCTGCAAGCAGGGATAATTTAACTTCCTCTTTTCAAAGTTGAATGCAGTTCATTTGTTTCATTTGCCTAATTGCTCTAGCTAGGACTTCATTGCTATGTTGAATAGAGGTGGTAAAAGTGGGCACCTTGGTCTTATTGCAGATTTTAAGGGATAAGCTTTCAGCTTTTCACACTTAATGCGATCTTAGCTGTAGGTTTCTTAATGGCCTGTATTGTGTTGTGGTACATTTCTTCTATCCCTAATTGGTTGAGAGTTTTTATCATGAAGGAATGTTGAACTTTGTCAAATGCTTTTTCTGTGTCTATTAAAATGATCATACGTTTTTGTCCTTGATTCTGTTAATACAGTATATCATGTTTATTTATTTGTGTATGTTGAACTATGCTTGCATCCCTGGTATGACTCCCTTTGGTTATGGCAAATGATCCTTTTAATGTAGTGTTGATTTGGCTTCCTACTATTTTGTTGAATATTTTTGCATCTGTATTCATTGGTGATACTGGCCTGTAGGTTTTTTTTTGTTGTCATTGTGTCCTTATTTGGCTTTTGTATGAATATAATGCTGGACTCATAAAGTGAGTTTGGAAGTGTTCCTCCTCCAAATGGGCATGACCATTTAGTTTTGTTAGTTTGTTTTAAGGGATTTTGATGCTCTGTTTCTACATCTTAGGGTGACAAGTTATCTCCATACAAAAACCTGGCTTTAGTAGCCTGTCTTCTAGAATCACAACTGATGTTCCTATTCTATAAATGTTCAAGTGAATTGGAGAATGATTTGGGGGCAGTTAATATTATAGATATTAATGAACTAGGTTCTTGTCTTTCTCTAAAAACAGCTGCTTTTCTTGAGGTTTAAATTCTGCATGGCAATTTCTAGTGGTACTGCTCTACATTTTACAGCTTTATGAAGAAGTTGTTTGCTTTTTTGGAAATTACTTTACAACAATCCAAATTGTGTAAAGGATACATGCACAAAAGCACATTTCTTGCAGTTTGCTCTAGCCATTTAAATGTAGTCATGTGCACCATCTGGATCTTGAATAGCTGTTCATTTAGCAAATCTCTCTTGGATTTCAGCAAAACTTTCATCTTGACCATATATCTGGAGGAAGTAGTTCATTTGCTTGATAGTAATGCCCAATCAATTAATGGAAATGGGTGTTGTTTAGGGAACATTCCTTTTCTGTAGTTTAAACAACAAATTCAGCCAGTCCTCTGGGTTGTACATCATCATGATCATTTGGTTAACAGTTCTCAAGTTATTTTTGCCAGTGAGTTTTATACCTTCAGACAGCTATTTTGAATTCTCCATCAGGAATATCATACATCTCTATCTCTTTAGAGTCAGTCACTGTCACCTTATTTTGTCCATTTGGTGATATCATGTTTCCCTGATTGTTCTTGATCCTTGTTGTCTTATGTTGATGTCTGTGCATTGAATAGGCATTTATTCTTGTCTTTGCAGTCTGGCTTTGTCTGTTATTGTCCTTGTGCAGTAGATCTGTAGAGGAATTCTGAGCAGACTGTTTTGGTCTCTAAGCCCATGAATGCTGCAGCCCTTCTAGTGTTATATGCACCCTAAGCTCAGGTCCATTGCTTCCAGCTCTAAAGTTTGCACATTGGTTTCCGTGAGCCTTAGCTGATCTTTGTTTCCAGTTTACTCTTGGTGGGCTAACTCTGTAGCACTGGCAGTGCTTCCTGTGGAAAAGAGTACACCTCCTTTGAAGAGTTTCAGAATGGTGCGGAAACCGAATGGGCTCCTTCCACTCACTTTTTCTACTGTAGAAACTATACATTCAGGGAAATTCTCAAGTGTGGCACTGTGTGGGTTTGGGGGAATAGCATCACGATCAAAGAGAACCATGTTTCCCTTTCCCTCTGATCACAGTTTTTCTGGGCTCTGTGGTCCATCTTCACTCCCAATTTCTGGGATATTCAGGGTGATAATCTTGCCACTGGATAGTAGTTGATAGTTGAAATTCTGTTGGGAAGAAAGAAGCTAGAAAACTCCTACTCACCATTTTGCTGACATCACTCTGCAATTCTGTACTTTTATATGGATTCTAATGGGAAGAGTCTAATAGGAAGTTTGAGTTTCTTGATTTTTAGAGCTTCTAAGTATAGTTATTGAGTTGGGAGGTAAAAATCGTATGTTATAACTGGTAATACCATAAGACTATCAGGGGAGTAAGTTAGCCCCACTTAGACACTGCTGGTGGGAATGTGAATTGACTGGGACTTTGCTGGGGTCCAGTTTGGTATTTGTTATATATAGAAAGCCTTAAAAATGTGTGCCCCCTTTGACTCAGTACTTCTGCTTACAGGAATTTACACAAATGTTATAATTAAAGATGTCCTAGTATTTTTATACTAAAAAAATGAGACATCCTAAATATTAAGTAATAGGGAATTGGTAAATAATTTATGGTTTGATGCAATACTTCATATTCTAGAAATATTGTTACAGAAAAAACTACTGATAAACATTGGTATGTATATGATAGAAAATGATTGGGAAGATACCACATTTAAACTGGTTATTTTGGGGTGGTTTTTATTTCAATCTTTGTATTAACATAGTATGTATTTTCTCAAAATTTTATAACCGGCTTTGTAACAGAAGAAGATTATTTTTAAGGGACTAATAAATATTCGTTATTTGAGTGCTATACATATTCAGTTGGCAATTACAGTCTCCTGAACATTGGATTTTAGACTCTTAATTTTCACAGCACATCCTTATTTTTATGCATAGAAAGTTAAACTTTTATTTGTCATGTTGAAATTATACCAGGTTCAGAATACTGGAGCTCCCTCCAATCAACAAGGTGGCACCACATTGCAGAATAATCTCTTCTTCTCATGGGCCTGACGTTAATGAGGCTCAATCAGTGTCTGTAACAAGTCTTTGTAGTGAGGGCAGCGAGACCAGTTATTGAGTACTAAGCTAGAGGGTCTTGAGAGAGACCAGCCAAGCCAGAGGACTTCACAGATCACCAGAGGGAAGGACGATGATGCTAGGGGTAGCATGAGGAGCCCAAGCTGCCTTCCTGGAATCTAGATCTTCTTTGCTTGTAGCACTTCGTCACTAAACTAATCTCATAACCATATGTAGGGCAGGGAGCTCAGCAGTATGCTGAATTCCATACCTTAAAACCTGGGGATAGATTCTGGCTCATTCTAGCATCCTAATCTTGGGCAAGCCTCTTAAGGAGACAGCTTCTCGAAGGTGACAGTGACTGATAATGCTCCCTGCCTGTGGTGGTTGGAATTAAAGGAGATACGGTACTCACCGGCAAGTTTCTAAATTGAGAATATAATACAAAAATGTAAGCATTTGTAAACTGTCTTGGTCTGTTTTTTGTTACTATAACTGATTACCACAGACGGGGTCACTTATAAAGAAAAGAGATTTCTTACAGTTCTGGAGGCTGGAAAGTTCCGAGTTGGTGAAGGCCTTCTTGATGTTGTTGTCACCTGATGGAAGGAGAGAAGGCAGAGCTGGTGCACGAGACAGAGAGGAGGCAGGCAGGGTGGACTCACTCCCTTTTATAACAACACACACGATAAGTAATCCACTCCTGAAATAGCGACATTGACCCATTCATAAGGGTAGAGCCTTCATGACTCATCAGCTCCCGCTATCCCTGCCTCCCAACACTGCTGCACTGAGGACCAAGCTTCTAACACATGAATTTGGGGGATACATTCAAACCATAACATATACTTTACCCCCCCCCAAAAAAAAAAAAGAAACCTGAAGAAATTGGCCGTATTCCCAGTGGATCTATGCTGCTAACCAGTGGCTGCCAGTTCACACAGCACACAGCTTAGGCTGGGCGCTACCATTGCTCTCCCAAGGCTCGTGGAAGTTTGGTCAGCACATCCTAGCACACTGATGTCATCCAATGACTTGGGGCTGAAACCCTGTGACTAGACAGCTCTGCATCCCTAGCCTAGAGTTACTTAAAAATTTAGGTTCTTAAAAAGCATCTATATGTATATACATTATAACCGCTTTTTTCCATACTAATTCCAATTTAAAATAATCTGTCTATATAATTGTCTTCCTTACATCCTTACAGAGA